GTTCATGTGTATCTCTAATTTGTGCAATTAGATGCTTGGATAGATCTTAAAAGTGATGTTTCCTTTAACATTGAGTGATTAATCATTCTCGCACGAGATTAATCTGTTCATTAAAACTTTCGCAATAATTATGAAAGTATAAGATTATTTATGAGCATATTGAATGCTCGTCTAAATAAAATATGATGAAGATAGAAATGAATAGAAGTTAAATAAATAAAATAGAAGTAACCTCAGTGATAACAGAATGTAAAAAAAATCTCATCAATAAACTAAATTAAATCAGCATAATAAAGTGAAAACGCCTACCTTCTTCTTGTGGATTTTCGTCGAGTACTTCTTCACCAATTTGAAAACTAGAAGATTCGTTTTCACTAATCATCATTGTACTGTTACAATTTAACGTGGCTTTGATTTGTTCGGCTTTATCCATGGCAAGATTTAACTAAAAATTATGTGAAAAAACAAACCATGAAAAGAAATCAATTAATCTGAGTTGTGGCTACTATTTTCAGTCTTTTAGAAATGAAAAAAGACGACAAATTATTTAACCAGTATAAACTTATGATAAATCAAAGCTCGTCTGTATAAATAACAAAAAAACTTTATATTCCTATAAACATACTGATGATATAGCATGAGATAGTTCTGTGAAAAGTAAGCTGATGTTAACTGAAGAACTACCTAAAACTAAGAAAGACTAAACAGATGTCTCATTCCTATTTGAAACTCTAACAGTCCACATATATCATATAACAGTATGTTAAACTCTGCATCTTCAGAATTCATGGCCAGCAGAAAAAAGAAAATGAAGCGAGTTCACGAACAATCCATGCACTTATTAACTGGTTCAAAGAAAAGTTAAAACAACTGGTGGCAATCATACAATGAAATAATTATTAAAAAAAACTTTGTTTTTAATTTGTACAAACACCACATAAAAACAATCTATATCTTACTTCTTTAAACAAAATACTCCGGTTCTTGGAATTAGAATCATCTGGAGAGAAAAAAAAGAAAGGAAATATCAAATAACGTGTGGCCATTTATATTAAAATAATGGTAATAATAATACTTATGAAAATGTACTTATGGACATTACTGCATGACAGCACAATCTGACTAATCGTTGATGCCTAAAAATCCTAGCAAGTATTCTGTACCATCCAAATACAAAGTAGCTTTAGAAGTTTATCAAGTCTACACAAAGAGGTTTCAATACATAAGAACTGTATATAAGAATTTATGGTAGATCAAGTATGATGAAATGAAGGACAGTGTTGTCCAGCTGATTTTAATTAGCGCGTTTTTGGGAGCATGGTTGAGGTAACGTAGCAACATTTGAGAAGCCATAAGACGGAATTTTTTATTGCTCTTCCTACCTAAAACTTTCCCATTATTATTTTAAATAAAATTCGTGTACACTAATATTATTGCACAGTAGAAAAATATAGCTCAAAGATCTTCTCCAGGATACAAATATCCTCAAGAAAACATCAAGAATATAGTCAGTGATAGAGTTCAGGGATGAGTTGTCGGAAAGTTTTGATTTCGAATAATGGGAATTATTGTTTATAAACACTACTTCGTCAGTTTTTTTTACGGAGCGTATTAAAGACAATGATTATGAACTTTCTAACAAAACATTTCGTTTTACAAATAATCACGAAATACAATTTAAATGAAGGAATTAGAAAAATAATTGAATCATGTGATGCTAAAGAATAGTTATGAAGAAATAAATAAAGATCAACTAAATCGATTTAAGTAGAATCAATGTTGTAATAATGAAGAGTATAATATACGATATAGATTTCTACTTGTAAAAGTGAGTATAAGTGAGGTTCTAGTAAAAAAAATCATGATCTGTAAATTTAGACAAGTTGAGAACGAAATAAGAACTGATAGATGATATTATGTGAGGATTACACAACATCATAAATTGAATCGTGTTAAGAATTAGCGATTGAATGGTATCGTGTTCGCTACGAGATCACACGAACCAAAATGCAATCATGTTTAGAATTGTAGGTGTATACATTACTTGCAATTCTCGAACAAGAAATAAATAAATAGCTTTCCGTAAATATCTAATTAATATCAGTCCATAATGTAAAGTGACTATGAGCGTTTTATTACTTAACTTACAAATAGCTATTATATCACACTTATAATTAATTTAAACAATAAACACTAACTGATGTCATTAATAAAACATAGAAAAGCTTATTTCTCATAAAAGAATGAATCATTTGAAATGTTACCCACTGACATAATACAAATCTTGATTGACAGTTACCACTACTACAACACTGTTTAAAGATGGCGCCAGATAAACTTAGTGATAATAACAAATATAATAATAATAATAATGGTAAGTCAATATTCAAACATGCAAAGAATATTAAATTATTTTATAAGTTTATTGTTACAAAATAAAGTTGTTAATGAAAACTCTTAACTAGGAAACTTTCTTACTTTGAGCTTCTTTTAAACAATTTGAAAATTCATTTTGAAAGTAAATCAGTGCTTCTTGTAAATGATGTCTAGAAATCTAGAAAACATATATATATATATATATATATATATATTGTATTTGCTAACAATTTTATGTAAACAACTTTTTATATTGATGTAAAGAAACAAATCATCAAACGATTTGTTGATATATGTTAATCCTTAAAGATTTGTAGTTTAGTCTTAAGATTTATCAGATGAATAAGAGTACATAAATATATCAACTGAGAATTCTGGTTTTTAACTTAATTTCTTTTTCCATGTTATACTACTAAGTTACTTACTAATATTCATTAGGAGAGATGGATGATAGTATCTAACAGTGGAATCCAGGACGCATGTTTCATCCTATATGAGACTGATTGGTTGCAGTCCTAAACATTAATGAGAAGATTCAAACAATCAATACAAATGAATTACTAATATAGAGTAGTTCATGTTGTTGTCAATCATTTTTTGATATATAAAACCTATAATCCGTTTGTTATGTGTGCTATTTTCAAATATTCACATGTATTCCTTACACTTATTCCATTTTATTACCGTGATTGTGTTTCCTTACCATTGTTAGCAGTTCGCCTTTATATCGAGCGTGTGCTCCCCAAATGTTCTCACATGGCCATGCGTATGCAGCCAATGAAAAGAAAGTTCTACTCACTGCCTTCTCGCAGCGAGGATGATGTTTAAGAACTTGAGAGGACGGAAAGTGAATATCCGGTTGTTACTTACACTACAACGACTAAACTAGAACTAATTTTACTGTAAATTTCAATTAAGAATGAATGCATTTGAACTATTGTGCTCGGTTTTGGGCTTATGTGGACTAGGTTATCTATTTATTTACTTGAACACATACATATTGGTACAAGAGTGTGCCAAATATATATGCGCCACACAGGTTATCTAACCTCTAACTTTTATCGTTCTAAAGGAGTATACTTCCCGTAAACATAACCATGATTAACAGTTGGCATCAGATCATACTTTGTTTCTTTCAATTTTGATTTGATCACTACTGTACGATTTAATGGACAGTGATTAGGCGTTAATCCAGTCCATCTAACTGATACAGTGTCACTATTTTAATACTTCCTGACTCCTATTACAGTTAAACTTACGATTGACATCAACACAGGTTACTCTCAATGATTCTACAACGTCTGAGCAACATTTCAATGATACTAATGATGAAATCTACATAACTTAAACAGAAAAGCACAAATTTATACTATTTTTAAATTAAAAAGACATTTAAAGACCAATAATAAATATTCAATCATACATACAAGTTTATAAAACTTGTCCAAAAATTCAACCACAATATTGCTGGAGGTACCTGGTAAAATAAGAAACAATAATTAGAATCAAATATGACACTAAACAGCTAAAGAAATACCGTGATAAAATATAAGTTTATTAGAATATTTAAATAGCAAAATCTTGGGAATCTCTATAGTTTACAACAGAAGTGGATGATTTAAAGAGTATACATCAAGTTTTCGTTTTCGTCTAGATTTGGACTGACAGACATGCTAACCTATAGTTTGGTACAGAAGTGAAATTTCAGGTTGTCACACTTTGTAATAGAACAGGAAGAGAAAATCAATAAAATTGGGCTGAAAAATGAATCCAGACATTGAATTTTTGTTAATCCGAAGATGTCAACTGAGAAATCGGATTATCTCTTCACACATTTAAAAACAGTAGTTAATGATTAATTGGACTGAATTAATGTCCCGATCTGATCACCTGGTCATTTTTATCGATCAAATTCTACCTCATTAGTGCACTTTGAGTTAGATTGTGACTTTATCTGCATAACATATGACTCAGTGAACTCTGTCAATGCAGGTTTATACACTTATCTACTTATTTACTCCCTTCGTCGATAAATCTAACTTTAACCATGAAATTTCTCACTTAGTTATCTACCCAAATATGGAAAACACTATGAAGAAACTTAGCGTTGAGCAGTTTTGCTTTACATACATATCCATAAACACTAATCAGAAGATTTTGATATCTTTTTAGCATCACGGATAATAATGTTATCTCAAAATATTGGAAATCTGGTGTAAAGAAAAGCGTTTAAAAAATTGACAGATGATAGTGTTTAGGTAAGCATAGTAGTTAGGATGGAAGAAAACTAAAATTAAATAATCACCCAGTTCTAAAAGTCGACTACGATCAAATTTCTCAGTTAGACCGTCTACCATATCAGTTGAATCGACATTTGGTCCAGATTCTAAATAGGAATCCCTGAACTTTGAAGAATCCAAAGGTGTCTTCACACTTGATTCAATGGCCGGTTCAATTGTAGAGGAATTAACAGACTGATTAAGAGCTAAAGATTCTTCTTGTTCAATTGTGTTCGTTGAATTTGGATAAGGACTAGGAGATGAAGGAAGGACAGAAGGAGAGTGAAGCGATCCCAATGGCAACTGTGTAGAATTCGAATGATCCACCTCAACCAATATAGCGGTAGGCACAGGTTCTGCTCATATCCATACAAATCAATGAAAGTAATGCAGTGTAAATGAAATTCATTATTATTTAAAATAATTGTATGGAAACAATCGTTTAGAATTAGAATAAACTAGAATGGAGATAATATTTATTTGAACACATAAACACTGGTACAAGGGGGCACAGGTGGTTTTGTTAGGAGGCCATATTCCAAGCCTTTGACATAGAGGTCCAATCTACAAGCAGTGGATCAACGTTACAAGGTAGTCGATGACCAACAATAGGTTCATACGCCATTTGTTCCCTCACGATCTTGTAGCCCATATGCACCATTGGTTTGGAATCAGGGTTTTCCAACTCCCCTAGGTGGATCCTCCATATCCATCAACCCGGTTAAAGCTCCGGATATTCACTTTTCGTCATCTCAAATTCGTAAACAGCATACCCGCTGTAAGAAGGCAGTAAGTAGGACTTTCCTTTCATTGGATGCATACGCATGGCCATGTGAGAGCATTTCGAGAGGGATAGCTAACTCTCCCCGACCTTGGCCATACCAGGGCATTGGGGGCAGAATGGAAATAAGCAACAAAATGGTCGTGTTTTTTCCCATCCATACATAGCCAAACTTAACAAATTAAAATAATGATTAGTACATTTTAGAGCTTAACAGAGAAAGCTTAAGTCGTATGGTCTGACCATTATTAATAATACTACTTTAAACACTAGTAACAGAGAAAAAGTAAACACGGAAAAGAGAACTTTAGAATATAACTGAAACGATTACGAGTTCACTTAGTCTGCGAACGGAACAAAGACTTGTGACCAAAGACCAATAAGCTAGCTACTGTGTTGCGTCCCAGCCCGCTTACTAGAGAGAGAAGTCGAAGTCCGAACGGGGAAGTATATTCCGCAAAAAGCCAGAAGCATGAGTGATAACAACAGACACAAATCAAAAACATATACATACAGCCCAAAACCGTCTTTGGGAAGGGTTACAAAACAGCCTACCAAAAGATACAATGGACCAATAGCGTTTAAGATTCTCCCAACTGGGAAATACGACATGAAGGAGAAAAGAGCGATTGTGGCGCGAAAACAAAGAAATTCAAATTTTCAAGATAAAATTACGAAATTATGACTTTTTTCAAGTGAGTTCTGGGGATATAACATCCCCAACAATAACTAATTACTACAAATTAATATTTAGATCAATGTTCAACAAGTAAAACGTTTGATACATGTTAAAATATACTAATAAATGTAATATGTTAGTATCGTGTTACAATTTTTAATATTGAATAAACTAGGAAACAAACAGAATAAAAGACAATATTATGACTTGATGTTTATGATAGCATTTTCATTACCATTGTATCACAATTATTTACTTGGACAAATTGAGTTGAGTATAACACACAGATTGAATACAAACGCATAAAATTCTGATTCATTTTTTTCGTATTCCTTTTTCTTCTTACCTAAGTGACAATTAATAAAACTATAATAATAAAAAGCTGATTTGCTATCCCTTCACAATATAGTTTGTGTATCAAACACTAACATACTTAAAGATGGAATCACAATAATACTAACCAATGTGAATGAATTGTTTCCAAGTATTCCTTGGAACAATTTTCGAAAATAAATGGATAGTAAACTAGATAACAGTGAATTATACTTTCAAATGATTTCAAACAGGATGAAATAATTGTCGGCTGAAAACAATTAGGCAACTAATATTGATTCTGACCATTACCGTATTGGTAAACTTCAAGCCTTATGTCAAAGATGTTACAACCAAACTAATCAAGAATCAATGGTTAGGTTCCTCATAACTCCTAAAGTTATCTCACAATAAGTAATACCGAATAAATGACACGGTAGGAAGTTTAGAACAAACAATTAATTGTTCAAAATCTGGTAAGTTTAACCAGGACCATTGTCAACATATACAGACATGAATACAATAGAATGATTTCATTGAATATGAAACCAATGTGTAGGTGACTTACTAGCTTTTCCACTGTATTCATAAGGATTTTCAGTCTTATCATTCTGTCGCGAAAACCAATGCTTAATACGAGTAAGAACTCCAGCTTTATCTGAGGATAAACAAACATTAATTTGTTCGACTGAATCTGTCGACAAACAGTCTCCCCTAAAATATGTAAAATTACCACTTGTACCTGAATCTTGTGGTTGATATGTTTCTTTTGGTAGATAATGAAATAGGCCTTTCTTTGATGAATCGGCATTCTTTTTAGGCTGTCGTGATACATCATAACCTAAGATCAATATAGTGACGAAAAGTACATGCATGCACGAAAACGTGTGAAATGAAAAAGTAAAAACGCTAAATTGAGCGAAACAGATTTAAAAAGTAGAAACCATGCATTTGTAGCTAGTATGTGCCTATAAATATTTTAGAACAACATAGTAGAATAACAGCTTAGATAATGTTAAAATGATGAAGATTTGAAGCTTCATCGACTTAGATGGTAGAGAAAAGAGTTATCTATGTTCAGCCGTTTACTATTTAAACAAAGCTGACTATCACAGGAGTAGTTTCAAAAAAACCTGAGGGCGACTAGACAAAAGTATCCTATGAAGTTGTAGTGAAAGAACACTCAGGTGAGGACAATCAATTTATATTGTTTAATGCGAAATTACAGAGTTCTTTGGTAAAATGTGACAACCATACATTAAATACTTCATCTGCAAATCTTCCATCATGTGTCTTTTATATCCTTCATGATTCTTCTAATTCTCAAATCCTTTCTGTTTCATCTCATGTTTTCTTCAGATCAATCTTCTCAACCCTCTTTGGAGATGCATTCCACCTCTGATCAATGTTACATACTACTTATGTCGACAAACACAGCAAAGTCACTAACTAAATTAGGGCGAGATTGCAAGTTTAATGATTGGAATCAGTGAGGCAGACATAATCGACGATTCAAGACTATACATACCACGTCTGAAAATTGGTTCACAGAGCAGATGTATTCACTCGTTATCCTCTTTTAAAGCCCGAATTTTCATATTATCTTATACTTTTAATGTGTCGATTTTATTCGTGTTTTAGTGTTTTCAACGTTTATTTTTCTGATGCCATAAACAATATTGAAACCTTATTCCTGTTAATTCTTATTTAACCAAAGTAAGATCGGTAAGACACTTACTGCTTATTAATTCAGCTTCCTTTTCAAGCTTCTCAAGAGGAAATGTATTTCCATACTATGGAAATGTATTTCAACCAAAAAGCACTCAATTCATTAGTTCATCGGTCTACATTCTTATTAAATATCTTTTATCCATGCAAACAAGTACAGTAATTAAATTTATCCGAATTTGAAATTATACTCACATTTCACTGGAACAATAGGATCAGGTAAATTAACTGCTTGACTGTTAAGAGTTTTTGGCTCTAATTGAGGTAACGATGATGAAGTCACATCCGTGTGACTAAGTAGACATAATTCTAATTTCAGTGATTCCGTTTTTAGTAAATGATCTTTCATCTGAAATTATAGTTAGTAAATGACTGATGAAAAAATCAAGCTCCCAAAATTTCATTTTTGTAAACTAATTTTTAATATATAACCTACAGAATATGCAACAAAACACGACTCATCAACTGCCTAATTCACGAATTCGTTGACTTCTCCTACCAGAACTTTGAGAAATTTATCTCGGATGAATCTGATTATCAATTGAGTGAAAACAATTCTGTTGCAAAGTGATTAGGAGCTAAACAGTTTTCAATATAAAATAAATAACTTTGAAAGTATATACTACTGAATAAACAACACAACTCAACAGCCAGGAGTAAAAGTAAGTTAAAAGTTGTGAGCTATACTGACTAAGGGTTAATCGGATAAAGTTTATCACTCACATGGTTGAAAGTCGTCCTTAAGCCATTAGATTACAACCTCACAAATACACGTACAACACCTAAAAAAACACTATCGTCAAATATTTAAGTGACATAAACTCAATAACTGAGCATACATTGAGATTTGAATATCCCACGGAGTCGACTATTAGTAACAAAGTGCATTACAAAAAATTATATAAAAGACCCACTAAATAGACATAAAGTATCGTCATCAACGTAAAAATTTAATCACAAATCTGTTACTAATATTAATGCTGTTGAAAAATACAATAAAATACTTTTCACCAAAAATGCACTAACCAGGTTTCGTATTTGCGATTTCTTGAAGCGCGATGGCTCATCTATGGTAAAACAAAGAAAACGTTACAGTAACGATCTGCCGAATACATTTTATTATACCAAACGGAAACTATGTTAAGTAATTAAATATTTTTTTTAATTCACGGGATTTTAACAAGTACATTTTATATACCACCGAAAGATAAACTAGATCGATACGTAGATCCCTCTCTATCTTTCTCTAAGTCTCGAGTAGTTCCACACTTCGCATACCTAGATCTCGTTTTTTCCTTCCGATACACATTTGTCATATATTCACATTGCAGATGCTATAATTTCCAGTTCGCTACTTCAGATTTGGCTGATTTCCCATCTCTCGCAATGTGCTAGTTTAATATATAGTAAATTGAACAGATCGTATGTTGTCTTTGACTGCGTAGAACTTGGTCAATACTCTTAAATGAAACAAACATTCATAAACTCCTCAATCCATCCAATCAAATCCATTAACTAAGCAAGTATAAATTTGATGAGATTTATGGATTGGACAAATAATTTTGTGGGAACTGGTCATTCTTCATATTCGTTGAGAAGAATATAAAACAAATGAGGATTTACACAAATGTCATCAAACTGACCAACAGCATAATACATGCTAATTTTTAGTTTAAGTCGCAGTGCGGATGGTGACTTTTAAGAACCCTTTAGTAAATTCACTAGGATGAATAATCTACACTACCTCGTCGCGAGTATCCTAAAATTAGTGACCAATGATACACCTGTCTGTTATGTGGTTAAAGGTAGTCGACAGGAAACCCTGGGTCTACGTTACGTACTAGTCGACACTCGTTAAAAAACCATAACTGTAGTCTTGATGAGAAGTGATGCTATCTGTGGGAGTGCAACTTGATCGACGAAATTCGATCAGAACTAAATGATTAGACAAACATCACGTTAGTCACTACTTAATAATTAATTTATTGTAAGCACCTCTGCGTGAGAGATAAACTACCTAAATTAACCTACTCCATATGCATATACCTGTCTGTCTAAACTTGTGAAACTAGGTAGACTGATCAGTCGTTAACAAATATGTCGCCACGCGTTATATAGAATCTTTCAGTACCGCCCAGTGAAGGGAAAGGTAGAAGGTCAAAATCATCTATTTTGCAATATGAAGTTGGTTACTCTTTGACATTATTTATAGGACCTTATCCAATCTATTTCTTTCACATTGCAGAATCGTTAGTTATGCTCCATCTAAAATTGAATAATGACGTTAAAAAATAGATATTATAGTCGTTTTCAGTGCCATAGCCTTAATCTTACTACAAACTAGTGTATTTTTCTTTCGTGATTTTATCTCTTTTCATATTCAAACTATTCAAACTCTCATCTTTAATCGATCCCAGATTTTCAATCGAAATTCAAAATTACATTTATGCTTTGTTATTATCTTATTGTTTCTAATCTAATCTTATTATCATTTACAGTGACCTATAACTGTCTACCTTAAGAAGAAACGTATCATAATCTTTCACTACTTAGTTGTATTATGTAGCTTTATTCCCTTGAATTCTCGATATTAATTTTCCCAGATAATTTGTCGATTGGATTTCTATGAAGAATTAATTCGATTAATACTAATCTGTTACTAAAACCACCTACATGTTAACTGATTCACATCCATTATTATGGGCCCATACTTCGTCAATTATACTTTATAGTATAAACATGCAAATGTAATATTTTCTTACGGCGTTTTGAAAAAAAATGAATAAGGCGTTACGATCAAGCCATTCAGAAAACATCACTTGACAAGTACCAAAAGTAAACGGAATGTTTAGTATTATGTTTGTGATTCATGTGTTTTTACCCATTCTAAATCAGTGATAAATATTTTGGTATAAAGGAAATTATTGTTAGTTTGTGTATGAGATTTAGTTAGGCAGTTATTGTAGCCATATGAGAAGTAAAGACTCATGTATGAGACTTGATTAACTAATCATCGTTAGATCCTTAAACTACTAATCTATAGGATGAGATGTCCTTATCCAAACATAATGACGATGGTAATTATAATAGTAATGATTGATACATCTAGTACTCAAACTCCTAACAATAACCTGATAACTGCTCCCCAGTTCACCAGAAGTTCTCCTAAATGTGAGTCTCGAACAGTAAAAAGATGGAGGGAATTATGTAAAATGACTTACTTTTAAGGTTAGTTTGAATACAGAAAACACGAGTATTTGTCTATGGATGGCCTTTATATTCTGAAAGCTTCTGGAAACATGTTAAACTTATTAACAACATAGGCAATTCAATCAGAATGTGACACGCAATTCGTCATTTTCCTAAAAATTTCAGAGACGTCTACAGTAAAAACTGATGGGACGAATCGCTTTCAACATGATCCCAGCTTCTGAAGACTTCTCAACGATAATAATAGCATATTTGCGAAAACATTGACAGTAAAATTGTAAAATATTGACTACAATGAATTTCGTATTTGACTACCCTACTAGTAGAGTTTCATTAGTCTGGCACAGTCGCACAAGCGACTTACAAAGTATTTCAGAAACTCACTATGATAATAATATTCAAAACATCTCATATATATATGATATATTTCGAAACATTTTGTTTAAAGTCTTTCTGATAATCCAACAACAACATACGTTACATCAGCAATCGTAAACACATATTTTTCAAACTGCAATATCTCTTCCAGTTTTTCATGAGATATATCGGATAAATTAATAAATTCATTATAAACTACAACTTAATTATAAAAGCTTTTGTTGAGATTGAATGACTTGAAAAGCACTTCTGCCCTGGCTTATAACATACATACATATTAAAACGATGGTTAAACTTAAATTTTCATCCCTTTGTGGATAACTAGATAGAGCAGAATGAATTTATAAGGTTACCTTCTGGTGTGTGCTACTTATATTGACATAAGTAGTATATGACGCTAGTCGCGAACAGAAGGTCTGGCAGCAGAGAGAGAAGAGGATCAAACAGTAAGGAGTCGAAACAGAATGCGATTTGTATGAAAATGCAAGAACAATGAAGTCTGAGTCATTTTGAGACAATTGGTGGACATTTTGCAAATTAAGCATTTACTTTATGATTGTTAGATTTTATTAACAAGTCCTGTAATTTTGTGTTACATACATTCGATTGTCCGCACTCGTGTACTGTTCACTACAACCTAACTTACATGATATGATCCTAATTAATGACGATAAATGAAAATATTCGGAACCATATTTAAAATGTAACCTAGCGACTGACAGTATATCAGTTCTAAACCCTCTGTACAAAGGGTTTGTAACAAATAACAATTATTTATCATACTTCACTATATGTATACATAGACTTGGATGTCTTGTCTCATTCACTAAACTGTAAGAAATGTGGTGTTATTTTGATTGTTGAAACGGGAAAAAAACCATAAAAACTATACAGTTCATATCATTTTAAAAATAAAAACTTAAGGAATCATTCAATAAGAAAATGTTATCAAGTCAATTTAACATTTAATCCTAATAAGTATTTTTTTTCCAAAAGAAAGATAAACGACTACAGGAACTAATAACATGCAAATAAGAGTTAGTTATAAAGTAAGTAAACACTCAAACTTACAATTATATGCAGCCATTAGGTGATTTAAACCTTCTAGATAACAATCGTAGGCTTCACATAATTTCCCCAGTGATTGTAGTTGAGGCGCACGTTTAAGATATTCGGCCTGTTAAAGAGGAGAAAAATGTGAAAACCATAATTAGAATAATTTTACAAGAACAAAATTATTTATTATGCATGTTTTGAATAACATGAATATTCAACAATAAACTAGAATGAAATCAAATCTTTGACAAGAAAATAATGAATTACAAAGAACTAATCATCACACTTCACAATGATAATTGATTTTTTCTTATAAATAAAGATGTACGCCATAGTGTCACTGAACATAATGAGTAAAGTGTCATATTACACAAATTGTTAAGTGAATAAATAGAACACTGTCTTCCAGTGAATAACATCTACTAAAAACTGATATGATGTGAATTACCAGGTAGTTTGGGACTTGACTAATCTAAAAATGAAGGGAACATATCGTTTGAATAACCTAGAATATTTTTGACTCCATTATCAAAATGACAAGGTAGAAAACAAGAGGATTGTAGTACAAAATATCCATTAATCATACAATTCAAAAATATATATCCTTCCGTTCACTGATTGGATAACAATGAGTTGATAATGTATAATCAATGTGTTTTCCAACAATTGCTCGTATATTTTGGAACTATCAAGTTAATAATTTCGAGGTTAGACGCAGAGTACTAGGTAACTATGGAAAGTTAATTGACGAACTAGTGAAACTTTATCGACTGAGATCGTTTGGACATGTATTACATATGCTGATGGCTGGTGTAGGGGAAGCTGGAAGAACTTTAGGAATGACCAGACCAAGACACGGCATCAGTGCATGGAGACGCTGACTATTGGAATGAGCAATGTAAGTAGGTTCAGGATAACTTCTCAAGGTCCGCGTGATTATCGCAAGCGAGGGTTAGAGACTATGGTTGACATGGCTCAAAATCATCTGCAATGCCTCAGGTGCATTTACTGTCTTCCTTCAAATCCTTATTTTTTAAATTCACTATACTTTTTTATTATTTCGCTAATTCGTATTTGCTAGAATTGTATCTAGGATACCTAATCTCTTAAATCACCTCTCCATTCTGGGATTTTCCCTGGCAATTTCATCCCGCTGTTTTAATGTATTGTGGCAACTTGAACCAATGCACACATGTGCCAGAGCTTACGTTGCATCTGACTGAGCAATCTAGTGACTTCTAGCCATCTAATTACAGTTTAGCTGATATGGCTACATTAAAAACAAATGTTCAGATCGAGAAAATAACAACCAAAGAAGAAGCGAATCGATACAAATCCACCTGGAGAATCAATCAGTTAATAATAATAATAATAATAATGGTAAGATTATATAACCGAACTTACAGCTTTATCCAGACTTTGTGCTGATGGTGCATGATCTAAATCAATGAATGGATGTGAAAAAAATTGTTCATGCTTTAATCGTTCAGAAGGGTTCCGTTTTAATAAACCATGTATTAAGGCAGCACATGGTTTGCTTATTTCATTTGTAGAAGGTAACTATAAACATACAAAAAAATAGGTGAATTAACGGTGGTTAAACACTGAATACTTAAAAATCCTCTAAGGAGAATAATAATTTATCGTTGTACAAACAATGAAAGTTTATATACATAATTGTTCACAGAATCTATTGCTTTTCAAACTCTAAGAAAACATTCATATAAAAATACTCAACTTAAAATTCTACAGGCAATAAACACCGATAAGAACGGATACACTATGATCGTTAGAAAACAACACTTCTAAGATGGCAATGAATAAATCCGAGCAACCTAAAAAATGATTGTGAACAGTAATATCCAACCTTTCATGAATATAATTGTTTTTGGCTTTATAGAGGTCACTTTATACTCCCTGAACTTTACTACGAGCAACAGGAATCAATGGAGCAATTGAGTGATATCTTTGGGATTGGTCTTTTCTAACTCTTTCTTTTGTCCATCACACGGTGGTATCGCATAAAATTCTCTTTGAAAACAATTTAATGACATCATAATTTAAACCTGACATCAAATGACTACGCCAATTGATAAGGTATTCGCTACTCTTAGCCGTACATATCTCTAACCTATACTATATGGTGAACTAACCAGGTTTGACATAACTATCTTACTATTTAGGTGTATGAATAAAAATGATGTAGACTATAAACCGACGTTTGGTTGGTTGCAATGAAAACAATAAAACTAGGTACTTTCGAGATGTTGGATTGCCTAGAAAGACGATATTATATGTTAGTGGATATGAAGTGATGGCTAGAGTGTAAAGACAAATAGGAAAGAGAGGTATACAAAATAGAATATTCGAGTATTCCACTCTTCATACCACAATCGTTTCGCGGAATATGGTATAGTACTCTTTGTGTCTCACTTTTCGCCGCAGTCAATATTATTTCCCACTTTCTACTTTTCACCAGTGTGAGGGGACTAAGCGAGGTAAGGTTCGTACCTGACACCTAACATGACGGAATAATCAATAACATACTTGTTAAATCAGTACAAACATTTAAAAAACATGATGCTTTAGTGCACTACATACAGTGGACAGTGATATAAATTGCACTGCAAACAATAAGACCGAATAGAATAATAATATATATGTAACAATGTGAAAGGGTACAACATGCTAGTAACATAAACTAGTGTGCCCAATTTTATTAAAAAACTAACACACAAAAGACACAACATTACATAACCCCCATAAATCAGAACATATCTGAAGCCAAGTGCAAATTTCTACAGATCTACCTAGATATATTACACAATGAAAATAAACTTATACCAAAGTTGAATGGTAATGGAGTACAATAACTAAACAAAGTAATAGTTTACCCTAAAAAGTCCTGGCAAAAATACATATGAGTTAACATTTTTATTGAAGTACACGTTTTGGTATAATTCATGCTGCAGACATAAAAATAAGTATAACTTTTTCTCCCAAAAAGCAAAAGTACTCACATAAAAAAACCAATAATCAATATAAACTACCTTAATTTGTTCATCCACTGCCACTAATTTCTCTTTTAATTTTTCAATTGTAATTTGACCGTAGGGAGTAGTGCCGAATAGGCATTCTATTTTATTGGAAGAAAATAAAAGAATTCAATATGGAAAAGTATAACTTTTTTGAACAAAAATTAAAGATAAAGAAATTATTTTATTTCAGTTGAACAGCTCAGTTTTTGCAGGGTGTGATATCAGTTGATGAACTACTAACTTTCCTTTTCCCTCTGAAAAACAAAGGATGTTCGACATGACTTTCGTCCTTATCGTTGGTTGTCCTAAAAATAACTAAAAATACTCTAATAGTCAAGCCTTGATTTTAATACTTGTATGGTAAACATGATACTACAAGGCACTTAGAGTTTTGGTATTGTATAAATAACTTTCACTATATCGGGTTCCCAGAGCACAATTTCGTCACCGGCTTTCACTGGACTTTACAACATTTAATTGATAACTTAAAAACTGGACTGATGTTAAATACATAAACTAAAAAATACGGACAAGATAAAATGGAACAAAATTACACAACTTTTCTTTACAACTCATTAAGTCAGGCAGACAGTCAGTCATATATGCAATGTAAAACCCCGCACAAAAATGCATTAGTTCAAATTACCACACCATATGTAACATACAACAAAATAAAACTATCAAGACAAATCCCGAAGTAGTAGAAGTAGTAAACGAGATTAGGCAAAGATTCTGTTAAATGATTCCGAGAAAAATACAACAAATACATACTACTGACGCTGTGTGCCAGTCAAAGTAAATGTGATTGGTTATCGAGTGTAGACAAACAGGAACTCAACTTACTGACTATTAAATATGTGACTTCCATTACTCTTATTGATTTCTACTACGGACTCAATGAAAATGGCTGCTTGTAATTGTATGGAATAAAGTATCATCTAGCGTTACTCTGGCTCTACATTCTTGGTCATGAATCGTATATCCGATATGACGTGACCTGGCATGAGTGTAGCGGATCGTCCGAGTATTCAATCTAGAGATATTGTAAACTCGGTCACCTAGATCCGTCTCATTATCATATATTCCTATTATCGTAATATGGTAATGCCAAGTGTAGAGAGAAAATTATTTCAATCAATCCGTAATATCAAACACATAAATCAACGAATCTTTATTCCAACATCTTTTGTATGTTGTCAGCTTTCAAACTATTTCATTAGTGGCTTACTCAATAAGAAGTGGTTTGATGAAGTGGGAATGCTAAAATATATCATGATTACTGTACATGACGTCTTCAAGCAGTTTTCTTATAACTTAATTTCGCTAACTTCAAGGGACATGTTAGTAAAGATTTTGGAGTCGATAGTAATATTTATAGCGATGAAAAAGATCCGAAGAGAAACCTAATAGCAATTAAACGAGTGAGATTATGAAGCAATGTTTCTTCAAGCAAAATATCGAAAAAAACGATAACAACTTTTGAAAAAATGTTAAGCTTCATAAAAATACCAAACTCTTACAGACCTCATTACTACTCTAGCAAGAAACTCAGTTTTACAGACTCTCCTTATTGGTTGAAAAGTGGTTTCAAAACGCCAAGGTCATCCTTAACATTTCTAACTGACTCTTCTCCATAGTATAGCTACTTTATTCAGTTTGATGGTTCTCACGTTGAATTTACTGGAAGCTACCTTTAAATTGGTTAGTTCTTAAAAACCATACAACTGAATTATGATAAGTATATCTGTGAAACGGCTGAATGATAATCCATTAAAGAATAACTGGATACCATAGTAAGAAGTAATGGTTTGAATGGATACATCGAAAAAATAAATGTATGATTGAGGCTACAAAAGTGACGTAATTTTATTTTATGGAGATGTCGACTAAATCCATCCTTGGAGTGTGTTTCCCTTCCTTATGAGGATAAAATATTGTTCCAGGACTTGTCTGAATCAATACTTTAGCCAATCATAGGGAGCAACCCTGAAGGGTTGATGTCTAACAAAATCCCGGTACGCATTCCAAAGCTCGCTTGACCTTTACAAGTTTATATCACCTGTAAAGCAAGCAAAATGCCCATCTGGTAACGAACGATTCAAGCATAATGAGTATAAATTAGTCCCGTTTTGCTTTATAGCTGGGAAAAGTACATTTCAGAAGCAGAGGATATTCACAAGCATTAGAAAATAGGTGTCTTTGAAGCATATAGTGAGACCACGAAGTGAGCAATGGTGGAACTAAGCTAAACTAGGAACCATCGCCTGGGATGGTTAGAATGCGTGGTACATATCCTGATACACCACCTAACCCAATGTGAGACATTCCTTGTCATAGAAGTAGGCCAGAAGACATACAGTGGTGAACAAATTAAAATGCTGAACCAATCCAGGAAGTTACCGATTGCTGGTCTCAATCCCGTCAGTAGTTGTAGATCTTTTATCTGAGACCCACTCAGTACTTTTAGTCAGTTTTTTGAGACGATTGGTGAAAAAGGAGTAAGATCAGTCAGTGATACGGTTATATACAGTACCCAACTTCCTATAGATCTTGAGTTAAGTATCATTCCTAACTTTACATTCTCCAAAACACCAAATCCTCTTGTATAACATTTCTCACTTTCAAGTTTAAATTGCGATAGATATTATTTTCCATCCAAAGATCTCCGTCATTTAAATTTTCTCTCTGTGTGATGTGGAATGTGGCAACATGGACTGATACATATCCGTTCCAGGCTTCATTTAGACAATGAGTGACTGACTTTACTGAAGTTTACCCTAGGTATGACATAACACTGACCACCGTCAGACGATAAACTGTATAGTATCTAGCACAAAATACCAGAAGGCTAAGCGCCTTCACACTTCTTAGTTAGATATTTATCTACATTATTTATGATTTTCTAGATCAATTAACTTGAATAGTGGTTCGGCAATTTAAGCTCTCCGAATTTTGCTTATTTCGGTTAGGAGAAAAGAATAATATCAAAAAATCATACAATGAGTGTGACTGAAAGTTGAGTACAAGAAAATATGCTAGGGAAGTGAACTGCACTAAATCGATTTGTCCAGTTTATCTCATTACCATTTTCAGTATTACCTATCGAGATAGATGGTTGGTAGCCATTTGTGATGGTCATGAAATATTGAGGCTCTACTGTAGTTAAAAATGTAAATCCCTTGATGCCAAATTAATGGTCAGAAGGTCGTAAAGTTTGAACCCTGCTGGGGCTGCTAAGGTAGATTGCTGAAGAGTCCCATAACATGACCAAATAGCTGCCCAGTGTCCCACCCATTTTTAATGGTAATCTAACAAAACCCAGTCCGTGATATAAAACCACGAAACTTGTGAAAAAACCTACTGACCTAGTAGATGAGATTGACCACACTATAGTGAGAACCTACAGAGTCATAATGATCCCATACTGTCAAAATTACCATTCAACTCACCATATAGAATAATACCAATAGACCATAGATCACATGAAGGATGATAAAAACCCTCGCAAAATATTTCAGGTGCCATATACAATAATGTGCCACGAACTTCATTCTTTTTAGCTGTCTCTTTAATACATTGGGCGAATCCAAAGTCTGAAATGTCATTAACGAGAGAATAAATAGATCGATCAAACCATAGATAGAGCAAAACGATGGGCAAGTAGTTACTAAATGCCTCACTTTATAATAAATATGATCAAAAGTTTACGAGGAACAGAAAAAAACTAATCGATGAACTGACTACAACAACAACAACACAAAAACGAGATAAAGTCGACGGCTTTATGATGAAACAACATGAAGTTCCATGTATACTTGCTAATTGCAAAAGGGATCTCCTTACTTCTACAAATATATGAGGTTTTATGGGCTCATTTTCAGTGTCTTCACCAAACAGAACACCATCTAAGTCAACAAAAAGTGGACACATTAACACCACTCAGATCGATTCTGGTCCACATCACCCAATTTCTCTAACCGTTGGTCAGGATAATCACGCAGACCCCGGACAGGCAGTAAGCACATGTCAACACAGTTCATTTCAATAGTCAGTGACTTTATGGACTGATATCAAGTTTTGGCTTGACCACTAGTAACATTCTACCAACCTATTCCAACCCTAGTCAGGATTGTATGATTGTTCGTCATACACAACACTTATCCCAGTCAGCTAACTCAATGAGGGCTCATTACGTCGCTAACCAATTTTTCATATTTGCCAAGTAGCCTACGCCTAATCTTAGCATCATTCGCTCAATTGTTCACGATAAGAAAGTATTGTCTCGAAGATATGTATGACCAAAAACCTGCTGTTTACACATGATTCCTATTTTCATGGACCACTTTTCACAGCAACAGTATAGAGTGAACTGATATGTAATACAAGTGCTTAATTCTTTAACAGACATCTCGTCTACGGACACGGGTGACGTACTGAACAAAGGTAATAGGGTCTTTTAAATCCGTGTCACGATTTCGTTCGACAACAACCCACCAGGGTTGGTGAACTTACTTACTTACTTACTTACTTACGCCTGTTACTCCTCGTGAAGGAGCATAGGCCGCTCACCAGCATTCTCCATCCAACCCTGTCCTGGGCAATCCTTTCTAGCTCCTTCCAATCATTATTCATCCTTTTCATATCTGCTTCTATTATCCGACGCAATGTGTTCTTTGGCCTTCCTCTTTTTCGCTTCCCTTCAGGATTCCAAGTTAGGGCTTGCCTCGTGATGCAGTTTGACGATTTGCGTAATGTATGTTCTATCCATTTCCATCGTCTTTTCCTAATTTCCTCTTCAGCTGGAAGTTGGTTTGTTCTCTCCCACAGAAGGCTATTGCTGATGGTATCCGGTCAATGGATGTTTAGTATCTTGCGTAGACAGCTATTTATAAATACTTGTACTTTCTTGATTGTGGTTGTTGTAGTTATCCAAGTTTCAGCTCCGTACAGTAGAACTGCCTTGACGTTCGTATTGAAGATTCTCACTTTTATATTGGTTGAAAGTTGTTTTGAGTCCCATATGTTCTTCAATTGTAGGAATGCGACTCTTGGTTTGCCGATCCTCGCCTTTACGTCTGCATCTGAACCTCCTTGTTCATTGACGATGCTTCCTAGGTATGTGAAGGACTCTACATCTCCCAGAGTTTCGCCATCAAGAGTGATTGGATTGCTGTTTTCCGCTTTGAATTTGAGGACCTTAGTTTTCCTTTTGTGTATGCTGAGGCCTACTGATCCAGAGACTGCTGCTACACTAGCTGTCTTCATCTGCATCTGTTCGTGTGTACGTGATAGGAGGGCTAGGTCATCTGCGAAGTCCAAATCGTCTCATTGATTCTGAGCTGTCCATTGTATTCCGTGTTTTCCTTCAGATGTCGAGGTCTTCATAATCCAGTCGACCACCAGAAGAAAGAGTAAACAGCCTTGTCTGACTCCGGTCCTTATTTGGAATTTATCTGTCAGCTGTCCTCCATGCACTACTTTGCACTGTAGTCCGTCGTATGAGTTCCGGATAATATTGACAATCTTCTCAGGAACTCCGTAGTGTCGAAGAAGTTTCCATAATGTCCTCCTATCTACATTGTCGAATGCCTTTTCATAATCAATGAAGTTGATGTATAGTGATGAGTTCCACTCAACTGATTGTTCGACGATGATCCGTAGTGTTGCAATTTGGTCTGTGCACGACCGATACTTACGGAATTCAGCTTGTTGATCTCGAAGTTGGGCGTCTACTGCATCCTTCATCCGGTTCAACAACACTCTGTTGAAGACTTTCCCTGGTATTGAAAGTAGTGTAATGCCTCTGTAGTTTTCACATTTGCTCAGATCTCCTTTCTTTGGAATCTTGACGAGGTGTCCTTCTTTCCAGTCCATCGGCACTTGTTCCTCTTCCCAAATCTTTTTGAATAGAAGATAAAGAATGCTTGTGGTTACTTTGATGTCTGATTTCAGTGCTTTAGCTGGTATGTTGTCGTGTCCCGCTGCTTTCCCGTTCTTGATTTGTCTGACGGCCATTCTAATTTCTTCCGTCCTTGGTGGGTTGACATCTATAGGAAGATCTGTGTGTGCTGCTTCGATGTTCGGTGGATTCATTAGAGCCGGCCTATTCAGGAGTTCCTCGAAGTATTCTACCCATCTGTTACGCTGTTGTTGAATTTCGGTGATTGGCTTGCCTTCTTTGTCCCTGACCGGCCTCTCTGGTTTACTGTATTTCCCTGATAGTTTCTTCGTTGTATCATAAAGCTGTTTCATATTTCCTTCTCTAGCAGCTTTTTCTGCCGTCGTTGGTAGTTCTTCCACGTATTTCTTCTTGTCGGCTCTAATGCTCCTCTTCACTTGTTTGTTTGCTTCTATGTATTCAGCTTGTGCTTGGACTTTCTCTGCTCGTGTTCGGCTGTTGTTTATTGCTGCCTTCTTGTTCTTCCTTTTTTTTGATCTTGTCCAGTGTTTCTGTAGAGATCCATTCCTTATGATGGTATTTCTTTAGAACCAGAACCTCTTGACACGTTGAAGTTAATGCTTCCTTGATGCCTTTCCAGTTGCCCTCCATACTAGTTTCTTCTTCTTTCAGTAGATCTTGTAAGGCTTGGAACCTGTTGTTGAGAGCTATCTTGAATTCATTGAGTTTGTCAGTATCTCGAAGGAAGGCTGTATTGAACCTTTGTAGTGCTGTTTGTCCACTTGTCCAGTTCTTCTTTAGCTTCAGTTTCAAATTGGCTACAACTAGGTGGTGATCTGAAGCTACGTCAGCACCTCTCCTGGTTCTCACATCTTCCATTGTCCTTCGGAATTTTTTGTTGATGCAAATATGATCTATTTGGTTCTCTGTAGTGTGGTCCGGTGAGATCCATGTAGCCTTGTGTATACGCTTGTGTGGAAATATTGTGCCTCTTATGACCAATTAGTTGAATGCACATAGATTTGCAAATCTTTCTCCATTTTCGTTTCTTTCTCCCAGTCCATGTCGTCCCATAATATCTTCATATCCAGTGTTGTCTATTCCGACTTTGGCATTTAGATCTCCCATCAGAATAGTTAAGTCCTTTCTTGGGCATTTCTCAATGATTGACTGTAGCCGCTCGTAGAACTGATCTGTAATGTCGTCGTTGCTATCATTGGTGGGTGCATAACATTGGATAATATTCATTAAGATCCCCTCCTTCTTTGTTTTGAATGATGCTTTGATGATTCTGGATCCGTGAGATTCCCATCCTACAAGTGCATTTCGTGCTACTTTGGACAGCATAAGAGCGACTCCCTGAGTGTGTGGAGCATTGTCCTCTTCGTGACCGGAGTATAGCAGCATCTCTCACGTAGCTAGGCTTTTCTGTCCAGCTTGGGTCCAGTGGGTTTCGCTGATTCCCAGTACTGCTAAGTTGTATCTCCTCATTTCCATTGCTATTTGACTGGTCTTCCCGGTTTCCCACATTGTTCGAACGTTCTATGTACCTATAAAAATTTTTGCTCTGGTTGTTAGAAGGGGCATCGGCCTCGTGGCTTCCGAAGGAGCTCGGCTTTCACCATGAAGCGTCATAATTCTTCTAAATGAAGACCTTCTAACTCCCAGGGCAGGGTTAAAATGGCTTGGATTATTTTTTCCGGTAAGCGTTTTTTTAGCGAGTTAGTCTTCTACGGGATGGGGACGCTAACCCCATGCCCAGCCCTCCTCCTTTACCAGGGCTTGGGACCGGCAGTAACCCTATAAGAGCTACAGGCGGAGTTAGGGCTGGTGAAACTTCCAACGTAAATGGTGGTCAATACCCCCAACTACTTCACTCCGTATGATCACCTAGAAAATTTCTGAAGCAAAATTTTCCATTTAACGAGGAAGAGATGCATTTCAGAAATCCTTGTAAGGCCGTAAAATCAAAAGACAACTACCTGAGGAAGGTGACACAAAAGCTTTGGTGCCCTTAAAGCACTGCTTGCATATATTGAGAAAATCGAATGAGCTATCCTAAGAACAGATACAGGGTACTAGGTAAATATGGCAAATCGGTTGATAAAATTTTTCTTCACTTAAAGCCTGAGCTCTAGAATTATTTTATAACTATCATAAGGCGAGCTCATTTTTTCAGCATTATCCTTTCTATCCCTAAATTACTAACCTTATTGAAATTCCTGATACTATTTCTACTGCCGTAGTATTCATCCTGATGTTGCTGTGTTGATAAAGTGTAGTAACTTGGACTGAGGCAAGCATGTGTTAGATTGTACATTACTTGTGACTGACTAACCTTTTCATGGGTATTTTCTGATACATTAGCCCTTTATTCTACAGACATTGCTACTGGAGACAGAAATCCTCTGGGTAAAATTAGGTGTTATTTTTATCCCAGATCTTATCTAACTCCTGCTGTGAGGAGGCAGTATTGTTGAAGATAATGGCTGTCTGACGGTAAGAATTTGTTTTTGCCATACTGGCGTACAGTTGTTGACAGTACAACTCCGCCCATGGACCTTAAGTTTGCTGTTTTTGGACTTACCGCTCTCCAATAGCCTTGCCTGGTATAGCAGGTGTAATGTTCTATAGTCCGTCAACTACCACGTGACAAAACCGCCAATCAGAACACCGACCTATAAGATCTTGGCCTTGTGCCAAAACAAAGACGCGTTAATCAGTACGAGCATCCTAGAGTCAACTCTGAGTCTTTATTGGTTCTGACCTAGCCCTGCCCTTTGAGTCCAGAACACAATCTCAGCTCCCACTGTATATATAATATATTTTAGATATGCACAATTTATATACAAGTAAATCAGACCACATCACACCATGAGATAGAAAATAACAATCATATAAGATCAAGCCGAAAGTGGTTGGAAGTGTGAACAGGTTGAAAATAACTTATGAATAGTAAATCGTATAACAGTAGTCAGGAGATCAAATGAAAGCTTGTGATAAAAGGAGTATGAATATATATATAATCTGGTTGCTTAATAGTTATCCAATAGGAATGTATGTAATAACAGTCCATAAATAACTCTTGCCAGTCACCACTCAACTATTCATCATTCGGATACAACAGCAGGACCTAAAGGAATAAGTGTCCCAGCCAATACAGCTCAATTAGATAACCAGGATATAGAAGCCTGACCACTGTATCAAGGTGCCAGCTATTCAAAGAGACATCTTATGACAAACGTTCGATGCCAATATATATCTTTCCCTTACCTTACGTTTGTAAATCCAAACCTGTCTATAAACTGTTCCTATATCCAAAATCCCACTACGTGGTGATTTCAGTTAACCTCCATCGGTTATATACATTGTACTGTTGTCGAATGGAAATTTATCCAGTAAATTTACGCCTTTTAGCCGGGTTATGGAATACAGAAGTCAATCTAAGGGAAATCTAAAAATGTATTTCCAACCCCATGTTTGGAAAGAAAAACGTATGTGAACTTTCTCCGATCGCTATCCCTTCAAGTATTGTAAACATCGACCTTTTTATGCTGATGACACATTACTCATGACTTCAGAAATGGTAGGAGGGGTTTACAGACTAACCATGCTTTAGTCTGAGAACCAAGAGGGTATCTATGACAAGGAAATTATGTATAGTGGTTAAAGCGCCAGTTTCGGAAACTGGGTCACAAGTTTGAACTGTGCCAGTATTTATCTGAAACCTGTGTGGCTCAAAGTACTGGAGCATATACTTAGTTACTGGGTTGCATCGCCACCGACAAATTTGTGAGCGATATATGCACTGGCACTCATTTTCTAGAGCAATTAAATAAATAATAAGTAAAGACCACTCGTCGATAAAAAGTTTTGCCGCATTGTCATAATTTTCTTGCAAATGCTAATTTGTAAGAAGACGATTTGACGGTTGTTTTATCACAATCCATAAGATCAAATACTTCTTGATTACACCTAAAGTGAACTGCAGCTTACAGCTAAACAGAACATCATGTTGACAAGCCTAACTACATATCTACATCTAAATTGTCTCAGAATATTATATAAACAGCTTGGTAATACTTTCCGATAGATTATGCGGTGGCACTATTTATTCTGACAATGCTCAAAAGCGAACCAGATCTACTAATAAATGGGTAGAAATAATTTAGAGGTTCAGTTGTTTTATCTGATTTCAGACTGTAATGAAAACTATCTTCGAAAGGCACTGCGTGTCATACGTTATAAAAAAGGTAATAAAAAGTAACCGGACCTACCGGCAAGCTTCAAGCTTGGATTGTTAATTGATGTGAGCAAAATATTCTGAGGTTTTAAATCCATGTGGACTATATTTTTACTTTTTAAGTATTGAAGAGCTAAAGCTATTGGTTATGATGAGGTAAATGTCAAGATATACACTTGCTTACCTAACTGTTGTAAAAAGCGTTGCACAAGCAGTTCATCTAATCTTCTTTTCAACCTCAAATATCTGCTAAGATCTCCTCCGCCACAAAACTCCATTATAATATACACAAAAGATGCATCCCACTAATCCGAAAATCACTAATTAATATAATCTTACTGTAAAATCAAGCATACGAACAATATGGGGATGCTCAAGAGCTTTCAAAATAGAAATTTCACTGACTAAATTATCCCGGGCTTGATTGCTTAGTTTCAACTTCATAATGCATTTAATTGCTACTAGCTTACTTGAACCCTTGGAAAAATATGAAGGTTATGCATGAAATTTTTACTTACGGACTTTCTTCCCATGTATACTTGTCCATACGTCCCTCGTCCCAGTAGCTGGGAAATAACAAAGCCCGGTACTTTGATCATTTGAAGGAATGACCAAACGTGTTAGTTTCCCACCTGATAAATATTATGATCTAGATAAGAAAAGTATGGAAACGATGAATGATAAAAAATTAATCGTGATAAAAATCTATTAGTAGTTCACCAACTGAAATTCAATAGCCAAATAGAAGTAACTATAATAGGTTCTGGGTTGCTAACCCACTGGAGGAAATAGGTAGAGCGGAACGTGTATCTGTGGCACAAATAATAAAAACAAAATATTCGAACCACCTGATCAGCCCCATGTTAAAAGCAGATTAACACAGATTCGGACACCATATTGCATAGGTTCAAAACGACGGTTAGTAGTACACATTTTCACAAACAGGTACAAAAAGTAATCTAGATACTTATTCATAAAAACTCAAACTCCAAGTTATGCCTTTTAAAATCTAATGTAATACGAGTTTCAATTTCTAAAGAACCAGTGGGTAAATAAATGCACTTGTTGACTGACGCCCTATATATGACTAGAATCAAAGTAATAATGGACATTAGAGGGGCGTACATATACAAGCAATTCTCAACAAAGAACTCATTCTTTATATTCACCACATCCTCACATTTAAGACCAATTTTCAACCTCTAACATATAATACACAACTGATAGATTAACTAGGTAGGACTGTTTGTGTCGCCCTAGAGGCACTACGACAATCTAGTTGCTAAAATTGTAGGTTCAACACATTCAGAGTTTGTACATAAATCGCTGATGAGATGCTTTCTAACTCCAGGAGTATATCTTCAAGGTTTTAATGATAGCACATTACCTAGCCGATTGAAATTGATGGTACATTCAGTAGATATGTCGTGGCTGCAAAACACGACACATCATAAAAATATTCAATATTGGAAAATGCTACAATATTCTTATTATTCTCGCCCTTCACTAAATGTCTAAATCTGAACTGACTATACTACTAACAAGGTGAATGTCATCATATTCTGAAGTGACAAGTCCATCACACTTCTTACACCTAAAAATTTGTACTTCTGACACTGATTTTGATTATATTATTAATGCAAGTGGATGGTGCCATAGATTTCCACGATAATATCCACCAGGTAACTCTTAATTGACACTGATTTTTGATGTCCGGACCTAACCAGGTGGTTAGGTCCATTTCGAAATTACTTCACTACCAGTGAAAACATCCTCAGCACTAAGTATAATCACTGCTAATTAAACAACGAGAAGTCTTACGAACTTTTGGAAGTCTCTCCCAGACTGTAAGTCATAGCTCAGGATTTTTCGTTTACAACCAGTAAAGTTCACCTGATAGCTAGAAAGCGGGAACCATAGACACATTTTCCGAAAACATGACCAAGAAGCAAGGTTTTACAAGTACCATTGCAGCAATCGACAAATAAAACAAGTCAACTAAATATCATAAAAGAGATTTACATTTGCCCATGTAACGAGACAACTAAAATACGCGCCTTCGATTCCCAATCATTGACAACAGGCGTCGACTGAAAAGAGGGCGATTTCACTTAACGAGCTCCTGCATTAAATAATAATGAATCCCCGATGCTTCAAGGCACAGACCTAAGCATTTCAAGTGAACAAAATAGAAGCATTGGTAACTCAGTATCGTATATTCTAATGTGTCTTAAAGAATACGTAAATTTTCCTCTAGAAGGATTACTAGGAAGTTCACTGGATCATATAAGTCCCTAGGGTACATTACATCCACTTTACCCTCGTGATCGAGGATGGATGTCCATCTGTCGATCGCAGTCAACAGTCTATGTCTCAGAAGTGGTTCTTCCCAAAGCCATGCTGTTGGAGTGGAAAGAAGTTTATCGGGAAGCAGTAGTCTCTTAGGCAGCCGTAATTCAGGAGTCCAAAGACATTTGTAGCTACTGAAAGGAGAAATATCGGCCAATGGTTTGGAAGATCAGGATTTTGTCACGATTGAGGCCATTTCTCACAGAAAGGCAGAGTGAACCATGTTCGACTCGATATGTGTATCCTTGTCTTGTTGCATTAGTTTACAGTACCCCAATGTAGTTTTTAACTCGTTTCGGAAATTTCTGTTAAGATGAAATGAACGCTCTTTTCAAGTGACTTGTGTACGACAAGTGAAATGTTTAGGGATTCTTTATTGTCGGATTAGTCCATCAAACCCTGTCTCTAGCTTTCTTTTAACCTACTCTTACGCCGGATAACAACTCCCGTCTAGATAGGCGGCAACTAAGGTTGTGAGATATACGTCCCAACCACTTTAGTTGATGAAGATTTGCCCTGTAGCATTAACAGCGAGGATGATCCTGTAGAGGTTCTTACAAAATACTACATATGACCGATTCTACTGCATAGAAGGCACATTTAAGATGTTCCAGACAAAAATCACTACTTTAACCATTTGAAGGCTTCAAAGGGATCGTTGTTAAGAATGCTTGGTTAGAGGTGCTAATAATACCGCTGAGCTATAACTTTGAGGGTGACTGTCGGTAATGTCAAAGTCACCTTTTATTGCACAACGCACGGAGTTAGTGAGGTTCGAGACTGCCATTTAAACTCACAACTCTTTCATTATTTAATATACAAACAGAAAATACAACCCATGTATAAATAAGTAGATAGCTTCACCTTAAACGTCTGCCTCTTAGCGGGAGGTTATCTGCTAGCTCTTAGCCACCTAACTTAAACCAATGCAAATAATTCATATAGAATTATGTGATAACGTTGTTCCGTGGATTTCCCTGTTATTCTTATCAAAAGAAGTTAATGTCTATTTACTTGAGATGTCATCGTTTATCTGATATTTATCACAACGACTAACTTGAACTCACTGAAATCTGTTCTCTGGATGGCCATAATTTCCTTGTAGTTGATCTTGATCACTGCATTGAAAATTTCGAGGAGTATGTTGAAAAGTGGTAGGAATTATCCTCATAAATGAAGCAATTTATTGCGTCACTGACTAAAGAACACAGGTTTTCCAGAAAGCACAGTTTTCTTTTCGAAGATATCGTTTACTAAATCTGTATGTTTGTATATACAATAATTTAATGAGTACACGAATGTAAAGAAAAACAGAAAAACAAGTTTGCAAGTGGAGTAAGACTGACTAGTGCCATGGTCATCAGGACTGAAAAAAGATTTATATTAAATATCTTGGGTTCATAAATCCAACTTGGCATCTTGATGGGAACTTATTGCTGGCAAGCCTTTCATGTGTCTTGTGCAACGCTTCAAAACAACAACACATTTTGACATAGAGAATTAAAGTTACTGTTGGAACCTATCTTCATACATCGTCAGTTTGATGTTACATAGGCGGATTCTAGTTTGGTATAACCCTCTATGGTGTGTAAAAATCCAATCCATATATGTTCCTCGTGGTGGCTATTTTTTCTTTTGTTCCTTCTGTGCATCTTTTATTCTATCTTTGTCTGTATTTCCGTATATTGGTTTTTCTTTTGGTTTGCTTACGACTACTATGACTATTACACTGTCAGAAACTTTTGAAACAGGACCGATCCCGTGATGCGTTAAGTCATTTGGCAACTATTTCATCTTTGACCTACCTAAAATTTTGATTCATAGCGGGTGTCATATTGTATAATCGTCTTGTTGGTTCCCATGGTTTAATTATAGAATCCATTTCTGGTGAGGAAGAAATTTTATTCTCTAACTGTTATGAAAGTGTGGCGGTAAGTAAATCCTCAAAACACAAAGTTCTGAAAGTTTTCGGCAGTGATACTGGCCTTATTAAATTTACTCGACACTTTCTATCTGAAGGCGCTCGGTCACGCATCCGTACTAGATCTTGCCTTTAGGCTGGCATGCCTCATGTAACAGACTGTTAGCTGAGAATAAGTTTTTGCTGTTATTATCACAAATGAGTATGCAGTGCTACGCATCCCTAGATAACACGATTTTCAATATATCGATAGCCTTCCAAATATGTATTTGAACTACTTTGTTTCTGACTTCTGATTTGTGGTGGATCCAAACAGAAGAGCTTATTAAATATATACCAATACGCAAGGTTATCAATAATATACCAGAAGAGTTAACAGCGAAACCCTAGGTGTCTGTCTATGAGTAAACCAAAAGGTAACAAATTACAGTTACAATACAGATGGTATATTCAATAACAGGATAATGACAGTTGTTATGAAATGAATGTTACATGTAAGCTGCTCTCTGAGATAACAATCATAAATGAGTTCAGTTGATTAACGAAGATTCCTCTGCACGTGGTGGCACCAGCGGCGTAATGAGAAAGATTGAATCCAATAGCATTATTTAATAGTAATCCGGACCAAAATTCCGACGCGATCTGGGAAGGCGTAAAAGGATGTTATAAAACTATTGTAATCTTCAGTCAGAGGCCGTGGCCAATAAAGCAGGAGAATAGATAGTGCTTATATTTCAACCAGTGCGGTAGAATATTCGTAAACGTATATCTAAATAATTATGATCGTTTTTTAAAAATTGATGCAGAAAAACAATAGATACTGAATGAAAATGTGGTTACATATAAAGTGTGACAGATTAGAGAGAAAATGCGGTTTTTATCTCGTCGTTACAAAAATCACTGAATATACATGTCACCATAAACTTGACTGGGTCGGTTTACTTCGGTTAAAAAGATGTTACGAGTGAAGGCGTTTTCAAACTTCTAATACCTATGACATCTTTAATGGTTATCCGGACCTGATCTCGTACACTAAACAGTAAACTGTTGGTCTTTTCCTCGCTGGGACATTAAATATCACTTTAATTTTCACGTATTGTGGCATTGTTCTATTGTATGTTTAGATATATTTTCCCATCCACTGGTATCTTATACACATCATGACGGAAGATAACTAAGCTAAATATCATTGAGTCCATTTTGTCGCCCACATTTCAGCCCATGCCTTTCAGGCCGGACAACATACCAGCCCGGTTCTACCTGAAAAGCTAAAAACGAATTCGATCAAATGATAGACTCCTGAATTATCTGGTCATTCAACAGCCAATGGGCCTCGTCTATGTACACGGTTACTAGAAAGCACAGCAGTGATTAGCGTCCAACTTGTAACTATCGACAAATGAATACGAAAACTATTCCTGATAGTTACCCGTTATCTCGCATTCACGATTTGATAGCTAACATACAAAAAATCAACTACTTTTCTTGAAAATCTATTTGTTCAAACCGTATAAACGAATTCTCATGGCCACAGACGATATCCGAAAAACCGCTATCATCACTCAATTCGGCTTCTACGAATTTTCGCGCATGCTTTCGGCTTGGGAAATACTGAACAATCTTTCCAGAGATTTATTGATAACGTCTTTAGAGGTCACAGCTTCGTATATGCGTATGTTGATGACTGCTTGATCTCAAGTCTGGAAAGAAAATCTCATCTCCAGTATCTATACCTTGTTTTCAAACGACTACGAAAGCACGGCATTACTGTAAACATTCAGAACTGTCAAACTGAAGCCGACTCCCTAGATTTTCCCGGATACATTATTGATGCTCAAAGCAGCTGTTCTCAATCGTTCAGAACCGGCTACAGTCAAGTAAATATGTACATTTAACGATCAAGTTACCCGATATCACTCGTCAGATAGTAGTACAGAAGAAACAATACTTCATGTGTTGAACAGTTCATAAGTCAATTGATCTATGGAGTACGTTTTGGTAGTTGTATAGGCTGTACACACCAGATTTAACAACGGTTACGTCCCAAAAATGAAATATTGCGGCATCGCGTTTGGTATATCTAAGGGTACTTATCGAGTATTTGTTGGTAGTATGGATCCGTCGCGTGCCTTACTGTGGAAGTGGATAATCTACAACCAGAAAAGTTAAACAGATAAATGAATATTTCCATCTACTTATCTCCGTTTTCCCGTGCCGATTGTAAATTATGATGGTGTAGCAGGTCTAGACCATAGATTGGCATTAAAACATCTGCAACAACGAAGATCCAGTGGATGAGTTTGCGTAAACTCACATCAAGATAAACTTACCGCTTGACATATGTGTCTGTTGGTTTTCCGTTTGCCACCTGTAAGTTTGAAATCGGTCCGTGCAATCATTCATTAGAATTCGGTGCAAAAACACTAACTTCTGCGTCAGTGTCGACGAGGTAGCGAACTTTCCTAATAACATCAGTGACATATAGCAGACGGCTATGTTCACCAGCTACGTTCGCCATTAACGCGTACCGGCTTGAAAGTACTCCGAAACGTTTTACGTGTCAGTCTGTTTACAGCTCGGAAAACTGCAGGATTTTTTGCAGTTTAGAGAAGATTTTCCACACTGATTATGACACCAGTCGTAGTTATTTGTCTTTCGTGAGATAGATCGTGAAGACCTCCTTAGAATAGTTTGTGATCCTTTACGGTCATGACGAATACAGTGGTGACGTATTAGAGCATGAAAGAGCTCTGTAACGTGTCCGTTGAGGTTTTTTTACTGAAAAAGCCTCGGCGTTAGACGTTTCGGAGATCTCTAGAATCCGGTCGGCAGATGCAGTCAGCTCGTCTGCAGCGTTATTTTGAAACGAGTCAAGCACTGCCTACACCTTAGACAAGAAAAGTCGTCTTAACAGACCATCTTCTTTTGACCGATTGCCTCTCTCGTGCGTAACAATATGTCCGTAGTGCCTCCGCTACTGCGAGAAATTGTGCTCGTGGATCGGTCACACCGTGTTCGTAGGAGCAAGATTCTACGTAGCAGAACCAGGCTCTGATGTTGTCAGGTCAGAGTGGCATAAGTTTAAATTAAGGTTTGTGTAAGATTCTTGATCTTAAGTAACTTAGGAATCTGTTCAATCATGATGAATATGGAGTAAAGGAATGAACGAAAAAACATCACGACATAAAAATTCAAGTAAATGAATGACATATAAAATTACCGAAAGGAACATAAAGTTTACAAACAGGTGTACCAGATTATGTCGGGCCCACCACTAAAGATGCCACAAGTATTTGAAGTTTGATAACACCTTAACCAGTAACAACTTCGATAATCAAAACGTACCCACCCAATGAAGTCAGAAGCTAACGTGTTCGAAGGTATATTTGCTACGTTATCAATATATCGAGAAGTGACTGATCTATACCGGCTGCGAATTTCGAAGAAGTTGAGCACACCTCTCAAATTCGTGATCTGGTGAGGATGCGTGATCTAGCGCCTTCAGCAAGGTGAATCCATTAAAACTAATGTGAGCACCATCAAATGTCGAAGACTTACAGAGCTATTGATTTTGAGGATTTATTTCCCTCTAAAACGTCTTTATTTTTACCACTATAATAAGTATGCTACGTCGACATTTTATGATGAGTTACTTGATTAAATTGAAACATGTGTACCGAAACTAGCATCAGACCACTTATACTCCAAAAGAATAAGAATAATCTGGAACATAACAAATGACGAACCACGAAATCACTTCGAGGACTCAATTTCAATCATTCTGACAGACGTCTAAAATCACTGGATCCCTACTCATTAGAGTACAGATGACTCATGGGCCACTGTCGAACGGCTCATAGGACGATAAAAACTCCTGAGTATTCTCTAAAACACCTACTTAAGCTCTTTCCCAACACAAACGTTAGGACCAAAGCCCAGAAATTAAAGGTACGACCCACAAAAATGTAGTGTAGACAGATCATTTTCTCTTTACGATTAGCTAGATCTTCGAATTCCCTAGCGACTTAGATGGTCAAGTGAATTTCCTAGTAGGCCTTCTAGAGGAAAATTGACGTATTCTTTAGGACACAGTAGAATATACCATACTGATTTACCAATGCTTCTCTTTTGTTCACTTGAAATGCTTAGGTCTGTGCCTCGAAGCATCGGGGATTCATTACTCTTGGACGCGGAAGCTCGTTAAGTGAAATTTCCCACCACTCAGTTCAAAACCGTTCAGACTATTTAAGCGGCTTCTTTGAATGTTGTGTTACAGTAAGTGCTATCTCAGATCATACATCAGTTAGCTGACCTTTGCTAACGTTTACAGTAAACATTTGTCCAAGACGTCGATGTATCTATAGGAGCTTCAACTATTGTTCTTGTCAAGATTTCGAGATTTTTAAAGATCACTAATTTGTCTACTCAGGCAGAGGATTTACGCCTTTAGACATACAGGAATTTCTGTAGACGATTTTTTAAGTATTTCTAATACTCTGATTAGATGGTTTGCATAAGGTGGAAAATGACATAGAGTTTTTTGGAGCTGTAGTCTATTGATTACAACTAGGATGAAATACCGTTCACCCTCCATACCATACCTTCTTTGAATAAGAGTCCTCATTCGTATCATCAACTTTAACATCGACCCCGAAGTTTTTCAGTGATGGTTCCGCCTTCAGGTATAATCACCCCTAGTTGACCGGAAGAAAGCTCGAACCACCCGAACTAGGACGTCTTATCAGTCCGTGAAATCATGAGTAGTCAGTTTTGGTCTTGTTGGCATTTTCGAACTTCCTGCCTAGGTTTAGCATGGTTATCGTATCCGGTGGTTAGATGCGTTCGATGACATGGCTCAGTACCGATATCATTGGCGCAGATGCATTTACTCTACCTTCTTTGAGATACTAGGTTTCAAACTATCTTGTGCTTTTTTACTTAACGAATTCATCTTTTCTGGGGTTGTGTTATTTGTTTTCTAATCTTTTCTGCTGTTCTTACTACTACTCTAGGATTTGTTTTGACGTTTCCATCTAGCTGTTATTGTGATGTAGCAACTTAACCCGTTTGACATATAGGCCAACTTCCACGGTGTGTGTAACTGACCGACTAGGACCTAGAGGAGATATTTTCACGAAATCGTTATGTAACTTAATAGAGATTACATCTACCATAATATTCCTATCTTCCTCTGCAGTTTGATCTTTTCTTTCAGTGAAAAATTGGTGAACTTGCTCTGAAACAGTGACTAGGAGAGTATTCTCTTCTAATCGATGTAGAGTAGTAGCACCGGATATTTTTTTTCATCAAACTAGTAACAATATTAGTAAGGCTAAGTGGGTAGTATTTATTAACCAAATGTTTGTCCCCAGTTTGTACACCAGTTACTTGGAAGTTTAGATTCTTGCTGTGATAAGCCAAACAGGATTGCCAGCGGTTTTGCAATTATTTCAGACAAGACATAGTTTTCATCATGAAGTATTTATCACTTCAAGGACTTCATTCAAAAATCTTAGATATAACAATCCAGACTATCAATGACTTGATAAATTTGTCTAGTGGTCTAGCTTTTCCAATTTTTTCCCACTCCATTCAGCATCATATGTCAAGCCAGTATATAGAAATTGACTTGACCATTCAGGATACTTTAGGTTCCCAATCTTATAAACTGACTTGTTTCTGCACAAAGCAGTCACTTAAGCATATGGCAACAATCTTCAAAATCTCGATGTCGCTATGTATAAGAAAAAGTCTGCGGAGAATGAGTTATAGGCTCTTTCTTCGACCCCACCTTATTTCAAAAGTGAATAATCCTATGGTCTGTGTAACTTTATAATCCCAGTCAACGCTGCTTTGTTTCACATTAAATTATCGTCTGCCTCCTTGCTCATCTGGCAGGTCAACTGACTTCAACTGTTTCCCCACACCAAATGTAATACAGTCTCAAATTTAATTCTCCTAACTTGCTCAAATTATCCTAAATTTTGGTGTTGTTTGTTTTCACAGCCACTAGGTGGTTATCGAAGTATTCATACACCACTCACTTTTAATTCTTTTATTCCAATCAGCTAATAAGTTGAATTCGACGAAACGTCTAACAATCAGTATCATATTGCCTCCATATCTTCTCCTGGATGTTGGAAACCTATGGCACCAAATGTCACAAAATCTGGGTCTAGGGTATCATGTCAGATACATCCAACCACATAATATCAAAACGCAGTGAACCCACTGTTAAACTTTTCAGATTAGCTGATACATTGTAATTCGATCACCAAAATTAGATCAGCACTAGGGGCTAGAAGGACGTGACATTAGTCACTATCCAGAAATCAATTAGTATATATGCAATAAATGAATATAAAACTGAAAGTTCTTTTTTCATAAAGTCGAGGTAAGCAGTCAGCTGACCGTTGTCAACGTAGAACCTAGCGCATATACCCATCAGTTCAAATCCCCATGCCTTATCAGGACAGAGAAATGTGAAGTTATCTATACACAACATCAACAATGGTAAAGAAGGTTACTCAGGATGGATGAATTTGCGAAACAAAAGGCGTTAAATGATTCTGAAATACATAATCTAAGAGGGGACAAAACGTGAATGCATCTGCGTTACTGAAACCAATTATATGTCATTTCACTCGACGTATCGATTGTTCACGATTATCATGCGAACCCCAACTAGGTATTCTACACCTTGAAAAATGACCCATTCCAACAGTCATCAACTTCATGGACTGATTTGACGTTTTGGCCTGACCACCCCTAACATTCTTCCTCCCTGCTTCTATGTCAGCCAACATCGCGCGTCGAGTTAAGCAGTAGCTGGAAACTGGTATATGTATATTGCTGTAAGCACTTTAGAGATTTATATTAGTTAAATCTTAGTGTTCTAATATCTCTATGTTCAAGCATATCATTCAGAAGATTTGTAAATGTTATAGTTTATGTATACGTATAATGAATGTATTATGGTTTTTTTTTAAAAATATAAGCTGTATTCAACTGACCGTAGAACATCCTTACGATGAACACAAACTACCCTCCATCTCGTCTTCAAGTATCAAGTTTGTCATGTAAAAATAAGTGTGGCTTTTATGGGAATCCTTCATGGGATGGATATTGTTCCGTGTGCTATCGCAACGCTCATCAAAGACAATCGAATTTTCGTCAGGCTTCCTCCACTTCATCACTTTCAACTCCAAATTCAGAAGTAGAGGTTAAACCTAAACATAGCACTGGAAGGAATACAACTTCTATCAAAAATATATTTAAGGTTCCTCGAGGTAAGGAACGGCCATTCTGTAAAATATCTCAGATGATAACCGGGACCAAATTTCAGTGAACCCAGAAGAGTGTTTACAAGCCGAAAAAGAATTTAAAACATTTCTAAACACCCTTCGAGCCTCTGCAAATGCCGACATTTCCCGCCATGTAGGTATTCAAATTTAGTAACTGAAATTTTCACAAGGTTTCAAAGCTTATGGAACAGTTGGAGCCTATTCGAAGTTCAAATATTAATCAAGCCTCAATGATTGTGCAAGACTTTTATCACAACCTTTCAAACCGTATTTCAAATAATCCTATGTATTCAGTACGTTAGTTTCCCATTCATATTGATATATAATATACTTTATGATCTCGACTTGTTAAGTGATTAATTTTGAGTCTTTCAAGTAGATTTAGTAATTAAAGAACTCAGCTTCTAATTGCTCGATTGTAGATTCTAACCTTCGTGTGGCGCATATATATTGGCACTCTCTTGTACCAATATTCATGTGTCCAAATAAATAAATAGATTCTAACCTTATTCATCTACTTTCATTTAATCAACCCAGTAGTACCATTAGCCCTTAGTGTAAATGAATCTGTGCTTGGCAACTGATTTTTTTAGGGAGCAGTGGCTTTGTTGGTAAAACACTTTAGTTTCAACCATCAAGTTCTAAATTTGAACCGCCGTCCACTTATTCTGTCTGGGTAACAGCAGTAATATTAAACTCCGTATAAAATGATTGGCTAGCAACTGTGTACATAAATCTCTTCTTGGTTATTAAGTTCCACTGCAAATACTACCGAGCGTTTCTATTATTGCTAAGAGTTTTCAAGATAACTTTTCGGGAAATGTGGTATCACCATAGAGGTCCTTCTAACCAGAGCCATTGAGACAGTCTTCATTTCTAACTTAGTATTCTCAGATGTATTAAGGACCACTTTGTATGACTCCCGATTCAGCCAGTTCACTTCAACTAATTTTAACAATGAAAATTCTGGCTGAGAGTTTCTGTATTGTTTTAGGGTATGAAAGACAAGGTATTCCATTATTCCAAACTTTTTTTATTATAACGCCTATCTTTATAAACACCCCACATCTAATTCCGCCACCGATTGCGTCTAGGATACTAATTGCTGTCATATAATCCAAATTGTGATACTTCAGAAGCTTACTAGCAAGTAACAGGATTCGTTGCTTCCAGGTTGTGAGTTAGTTTAGAATGTCTCCACCTTCAGCCAAATTTTAAACATAATCATGCTCATGGTAAACAAATATTTATTGTGTTATAGTTTCTGTTTCCAAATGAATGTTGAGACTAGAGATCTGCAGCTCAATAGGATGTTTCTATTTAGCTTTATACTAAGCTGAGTGATTTAATCATGGTTAAAGAACCTAATTCCACCCAAATGGATGTCAGTGTTTTGAGCACAGTTAAATTTTGTTAAGGAATGTATTGTCTCATTAACGAGACCTTCGCGTAAAGCACTGGGTAGATGAAACTCATTGCCAATGCCATATTGTTGTATGATTTAGGGATACAAGGCCATGTTCTGGAAAAGGGTGGAAATAATTTATTATTATTACTGTGATTATTATTTTCAGATTGCGAAATGTCTATTCTCGTTAGTCAGAGGACCTTTATGGGTGATAAATCCACCATATATCTTATTTTCTATCGTTTTCCAGTTAAAATATTTCGTTTTGAAAGTAATCAATATTCCGTCGACTACAGAATCTTCGTTGTTCATTTAATTTTTGAGTATTAAAGATTCCCATTGTGAAAATTAGAACAACACATATAAGCGAACAATTGTTTTCAATTAGATAGTCATCAGGCTTTACTCTAATATAAAATACGTAACCCCCCTATCCCTTCCATGGCCAGTTATAACTTAACTAACGAAAAAAGTTTTTTTAATTTTTATTATTAGAATTATTTATTTTGTTATCATTAACCTTATTTCCACATCCATTATTTGTTTTTAATTTTCCGCCTCTTTGTATTCTTCACTATCTAATTATTTACACACATCTTATTACGTAATGATTTTAATGTTTTGTGATTACCATTCCTAGTCTATTTACCCATGTTTGACCTTCTATTTCCAACGTTTAACTATTTATAAGACTTTTGTTATCGTATTTTATTATTCTTACTGTTATCAGTTCACCTGTCTTCCTACTATCAACTTGTAGTTTTACCTATTATGTGTAGAGACTTATTCTATTTCATTGTGATTATTGACTCATATTGCCTTGATTGGTTTAACATTTTCGTATAAATATTCATGTATATTATAGTAAAGCCTGATGACTCTCTAATTGAAAACATTTGATTTTTATTGGAACGTTATGAGAAAAATCTCAATACTATGTTTCAGAAATAACTTTTTATTCATTGATTTATTCCTTTTTATTAAAAAGCAATTTTAATCCATTTCAGAATTTGTCACCAAAAACCAAAGAATCTGTTTTAAACTCAGTTGAACGTTTCGTTACAACTTGGATTTATTTTTGGGCTTTTGCTTCACCTACAACGGATGATGAAGAAATAGATTTGAAATTACAGGAAAAAATTCGATCATTGCATTGGGTAACTCCCTACTTGCTTGATTCACCGATTAATCCTAATTCGTCAGAGGAACTTGCCCATTTAGATCTAGCAACATTTGGTAAGAATACGTAAATTTTGTGTGCACGATTTATGATTGTTGATTAATAATAAAGTCACGAGTTTAACCTTTACACTCAGTTTTTTTCTTGTGATACTCCGGGAATTATGGAAATGTGAAAATGGGTATTGTTTACGGTTAGTTTATAAATCGATATACTTACATTTACTCGTAGCGTAAACAGTGTCCGGTACACTGACACAAATAAACGGAATATGTGCTACGAATATTTAAATAGAAATCGGACATCCAGGAAATGTTCACTAATAGCGTAAACATATAATCATTTCGAAGTGGAAAGATGCAAACCGTTTACACCACCTTTTTTATGGAGACGAGTAATTTGGTAATGGTTCTCAACCAGTCAATAGAAAAAACCTGTTTTTCCATAAATATATAGGCTGTGAGCTTCGTCCTATCAAAAGAAAACTTGTGTAAGATATTTATTTTCGTGGATTGGTTGAAGTTAGACATCAACACCGTTGGATGCTGGCTCAGTGATCCAGAGGTTAAGCGTTCAAGTGCGATGCTGATAAATCCTGGGTTCGGATCCCACGGGCGGGATCGCGGATGTGCACTGCTAAGGAGTCTCACACTAGGACGAAACGGTCGTCCAGTGCATCCAGGTTTTCCATGGTGGTCTAGCTTTAATTGATTCATGAATTCAACTATTAAATTAATTATTTTCCACCAAATGTTTTTATGATTTCAATTTATGACCTAATGCAGTGTATGATACTTATGCTGATATATATGAGTAGGATGTAGTACCCATCAGAAGTAGACAGCCTGCTAGCAGAAGATTGGATTGAAGAGAACAGGAAGGGAAACAGAGCGCAATCGTAATAACAAGAGAATTGGAAGAATTATGAAGCATGCACGAGAAAGCCCGAAGAAGACGTGCAAATAATGTATTTAGTGCATGGTTTTCGTATTTTAAGAAGGCACTGTAATTTAGCATTAAACAATAAATTGGTTATCCCCACCTGAGTCCTTGTTCATAAAGGTAGCACTAAATATTCATATACTATCTATGTAATCAGTTTAATAATTAAATGGTGAACAGTTATTCCCCGAACTTATTATTGGATTCAATAATCACATCTAGCATAGAATGCATTAAGTTTTGAAGTTTTAGGATAAAGTAGTGGTAATCCAGTCACTTAAATAGATCTCAGTAAAAGTAGAGAAATGATAATTTTAATGATCTTTGTGGAAACCTATGAGTGAAATGTACACTTACAGTTGAATTAAATATTAATAAATTGAAATTTTACTTTTTTATGAATCACTTATTTCTCGTTTATGACAATTTATATCTGACATCAAATAGTTTGTTTGACAATTGGTACATCTTAACTATGTAACAACCAATTAAACACATCTAGTTGAATTATATAAACACATGAGACTAATTTTATAATGAATCATATCTTTTTGATCGACGATAATAAATAAAGTAGTATCTTGTAAATTCGTTATGGTGATTCCTTCAATTAGAATTACAACTTTTTTGTGTTGTATTTTCTGTCGTTTACACTTTTTTTAAAACAATATAATGTCTTTAAGTCAATATTTATTAACACTGAGCTTTTAGTAAGTATTTAAAAAATCAATTTGAGAGATAACTAATCGTTATTGAGTATCAGTAAAACTCAAGTGTGTAACACATATAACCTTTAATGGAATAATTATTCAAGACTTTTGTTCTAGACTATTGTAGATCCAACATTTAAGCTACTGTATTCAATAGCACTATCTACTGCTTAACTGAAATAATCATATTTAGTTGTACTTCAACAAATTATTTGGTGTATATGCCTTACGTAAGTTCGTAATTTAAGCATCAGTTTTTAATTTTGGATGAATAGGCTAGTGAACTGATCACCCACACACGTACGTACACGTACATAGAAGCGTGTTAATTACGTATATCATCTTTCTTATTCCATTGTATAAATATAACCTGTAGACAACAGTTAATATGATGAAATGATCAAAGCGCGTTAATCATTTATTTCCGAAGGTTATTTACAATAACTTAATGACTTCTTAAAAGTTGAACTAACTACATACATTAATGATCTAGTTTTTCCTGAATTGCAGTTGACAAATGTATGCATGGTGTTGTAAATCTTGACTTATCCATCTTGATGATTAGATAGTGTCGATCAGATTACTTATTTAGAAGAATAGTTCAATCTGCCCTACCTTGCCGAATTAACTAATATTCTTCTGAATATCTTCATAAATCAGTAAACAACCTACTATCAGTCTAAGTCAAGATGTATTTTTACACAGAAAAGGAAGTACGGTGTATCATTTACAGTATAGATAGCACCAATTTTATACATATCCAATACTGTCTTCAGATTGAATAATGTAAACGGTCTAAGAAAGTTAAATAAGATAGGAAAAGTGGTTACAAGATTGAAAGTAGTGACTTTATGGTTGATAAAACTGTCCGTACGATATTATTTACTGCTTCATTTCTCTAGGTATTTTAATATCAAATTCTTATCACGTTAACCATTATCTATGTAGTTGCTTTCTAGAAATGCTTGCGTATTAAGAGACCTGTTTAGAAGCTAATTTTCAGTTAACTATAAGCAACGTGCAATCTGGCAAATAGAAACATCGCGTCAAGCTGCCACACCATATCAACGAAACAATTATCAAGATAAATGTCACAGCAGTAGAATCATTATTACTAACATCAATGGTAGTAAAAATGATTAGGCATAAAGAAGGTTGAATATGAAAAATAAAGGTGTAAAATGATTCTAAAACACATGATCTAAGAGGGGACAAAACGTGAATGCATCTGCGTTACTGCAACCAATTCTGTGTCATATCGCTCAACGTATCCATTGTTCACAATTATCATGTGAACCCCAACTAGGTATTCTACACCTTCAAAAATGACTCATTAAAAAAGTCACTGACTTCACAGACTGATACTATGTCTTGAATAAGTTTTAGTGATTATATTTCTATTTCATTTTATTTGTTTTAATTTAGCTCTTATCAAAGTGAATACATTACTTGCATCTGAAGATAAATTAAATCAAATAGTTCAATGTTGTCGTAGTGTATTCGATGCATTAAGAGCTCACTATCGAAATTATGCCGCTATAACACAACAATATTTATCTAACAACGATAATAATGATAAAAGCCCAACACCTGATTATATTCCTAGTCAAAATGAAAATAACAATTCAACTCATGTACAAAATAATGTCATGAATAACTCTGTGAATATAACTAATAATGTTGTATTTGAACAAGAAGATACCGCTAATGCTGACGATTTTTTACCGACACTAATTTGGATTGTACTGAATTCAAATCCACCATTAATCTATTCTAATTTACAATTTATTATGAGATTTGCTAATCAGAATAGACTGAATAGTGGTGAAGCTGGTTATTTCTTCACGAATTTAGTAAGTGTTTCACTGTATTTTATTTATAAAACTTTTTTCTCAATCCATATTGCTTCTATGTATAGTACAAAGTAAATTTTGTAATTACTAATATGACTTTGGTGAGCATATGAGTAATAAAGTTTAAAGATGAATAGTAATGTTCTAAGAAAATTTAAATTACATTTATATATAGTCAAACGAGTGATCTCTAAATTGTTCTTTTGATATTCTACTAATTTAAACCACGAGACCTGATTGGCTCCTAACAAAGTTTTACTGTTATTAACTGTACTTAATTGTTAAATGAATGTGATACAGACTTTTTTTATGTCTTATAAACCTTTTACTGACTTTACTTCATAATAACTATTAAAGATTCAATTCACCTCAGTAACCACAGAAAAAATGAATATTAGTTAATTAGGATGAGGTTTGATTACACATGAAATGATTCCGAGTGCAGTTCGAGACAGAAAGACGGTTTCTTACTTTATGGTCCCACACATCGTGGAAGGATACTTATTCTTAAGATAATTGAAAATGGAAATGGGTTAGAGGGTAGTCTTGATGACCTAGAAGCGTGACTGCTATGGTTAAGGAACAGTTGCTTGAGCGCGGTCATAGCCTTTTTTGTGATTAGTTTTAGGCAAGTTAGTGTCACACTTTTAAGGCCTCACTGCTGGGGATGGAAATCTGCGGGGCAAAGTAAGGTGTGCTATTTTTAAGACCGATATTCTATAGCGCTCTCCTGTTATGGAGAGGCAGTATCGTTTCAGATGCCTGTTGTCTTAGGGAAAACCTTACTACATACAAAAAGTGTATACGCGTACTCTTCCATTACCCGTATATATATTGGTTTAATAGCTGATGATATGACATTGGATCTAGGCACTTTAGAGCAATATTGATTCAGTAATGATGAACAATTGTTTTCTAGCTGAAATAGCAAATATTTCTCTTCGGATTGTTATATAAAACAGTATGCTAAACTTAAACTGTCCATTATTATTACTATTTCATTGCAACTGAAAATAATTTAGTAAACATCCTACAAAGTATCAACACAACAAACATTTTATCGTTGACAATGTTATGCACTGTTTATGATTGTAAATCAGCAAATTTGATATGGCCAATAACTGATTCTGTTGGGGATGCTAGATCCCCAGAAATCACTTGATAGACGTTTGTAATTTTACTTTCGAAATTTAAATTTCTGATTTTCGCATCAAATGTGCCCATTTCTACCTTCAGATTGTATTTCCCACTTGACAAGACCCTTAATGTCATTGATTCGTTCCCTCTTTATATGCTATCTTGTGACATATCCCAAGGACCTTTTTATGCTGTATATATATGCTTGAGTTGTTTGCTCATTGTTCGTGCTCCTTAGTGCTTGTGGAATATATCTTTCCTTCATCTGAACCGGGTCTTCTCTCTCTAGTTAGCAGGGCTGAAACGCATCGGAATAGTTTAGTTTGTCTTGTTGCTGTGTCGTCGATCCTTCGTTCCGTTCGCCGATTTTAGGTGATCTCGTAATTCCTTCAAAAATAGCAAATTCCATAACAGTATACCACAGCCTCCTTCTCTTTTATCCTCGGCTACTTCGTAGGAAAAATCTAGTAAAGTAGAGTTACTTAATGGAGAGATCAAAGAAGATCAATTGATATTTGAATTCATTCAATTACATATCGGTTACATTCAGTGGTTATTAGTCAGGGCATTTTCTAACCTAAACAAATGTCACATGAACGTGTCATACTGAATTAATCAATACAGTAAAAGTGTACTACCAGTTAAATGAACAAACATCACATTAAATTAATTCATAGAAAGAAAAGCGTACTAGAAGTCAGTTGAATGAAAACGACCCTAAATCAATATATGATCTTACAACTGATTTCGTAATACATTGTCTTTGGGAATCAATCATCATTAACAAAGCTAAACCGCTTCCTTCAACAAATCAAACTTGTCTCTTGATCAACATTAAAGTTCACTATCCGAAAACCATAAAATATTTTCTTATTGAATTTCCCAAGTTTTATTCAATCAACACAAAGCTATCTAGTGAGTGTCTGACATTCTGATATCTATTTATTTATATATTTAAACACATAAACATAGGTACAAGAAGGCACCAAATAGATATGCGACACATAAACCATTCGATTTGTGTGAGGGCTACGATATTGTCCGGGTGCCCAGACTGAAACAGGTGGTTTTCTTAGGGGCCACACTCAGAGCCTTTGACTTAAAGGTCTAATCCTCAAGGCAGTGGCGCAACGTCAGGAGATGCATTCCCATGGTAACCGGTGACCAACAATTTGTTCATACGCCATTTGTTCCCTTAGGATCCTGGAGCCCATGTACACCATTGGTTTGGAATCAGGATTTCCCGACTCCCCTAGGTGGATCCTCCATATCAACCGACCCAGTTAAAGCGCCGGACATTCGCCTTTCGTCCTCTCAATTTCGTAAACAACGCCCCACAGCGAGAAGATAGTGAGTAGGACTTCCCTGTCAGTGGTTGTATCCACGTGGCCATGTGAGAGCATTTCAAGAGGGAGAGTTGACTCTCCCCACTCTCGGCCGTACCAGGGCATTTAGGGGCGACATTCTGAAAACAACCAACCAATGAAGCAATAGCCTTCAGTTATATATTCATCAAAAAAACTAAGTTTGTATTGTAATTTTCTGGGTTTTTCGAGCATAATTCGTTTTTATCTAGAAAGTATGACATTTCATGTTGACTGTTACTGAAGTGTTACAGCTTTTATGTGTAAAATTGTTAAAAGCAAAATCTCCAAAAAACTAGCTACTTGCTATGATGAAAAGCTCTATTTAACGACATTTTAAATTATTTAGTCAATAGCTTAAATTTTACGTACGTAAGCATGACTCCACTGTTTTTAACGTGGTAATCCAGATTGATACGTTAGTTTATTTATTATGAAAGAATAAAGAAAAAGAGAATAACAACAACTGATGTTACGGAAAAAAACATTATTTGTCAATTAATTGTCTCCTGTTTTCTTTTATCATACTTTTATAGTCGTGTGCTGTTCACTTCCTGAGAAATCTAACTCATGAGTCATTAAGTTTATCCGAGGAAGATTTTAGTCGATGTATGCGAAAAGGTTTATTATTAATCAGACGTCCTGGTGAACCATTATCAGAAAACGAAAAATTATTAATGGATAATGGAATTCGTCTTGCGGATTTAGAAGATAGGTAAATGTGTATATATTTATATTTATTTTAAAACAATAAATTTTCAATTCATAATAAATGTTGTGGAATTGTTCCTGTAATTCGGCCCTTTGGTATTCTTGTTAGCATAGTTGTAAAAAGTAATAATTTCTAGTGTTATTTGAACTTGGTTATCCTTATAAATAGTTATAATACATAACAAGTGGTGTGGCGATCTAGTTGTTAAAGCACTTGCCTTTCAACTAGTTATTCACATGTTCGAACCCTTCCGTATCAACTTTGGTTTGATCAGCCGAATGTCACACTGGCCTTCACACCAACAGTTTAAAGTATATAGGCAGAAAATTCGATTTTCTTTTCTTAACTAAATAATGGCATCCAAATGTTTTGAAAAGGCGTTAGGTATTATGTATTGCAAAAATACTATCGAATCTAAAGTAAATCCAGTAATCAAAAAGTGCTTCTTATCTCTAATCTGAATTACACAGATTTGTAGACTTAGAAAATAAAGTTTTACTACTTGTTAGTAGTCAAACACTAAATATATAATTTGTTGGACGGAAGACTTCTAGTTACGTTCGAAATCACCTTCAATAATTTTCATTGAGTTAGTTTCAAAATTAACGAGATCTTATTCACTCTTAGTACGATAAAATGGATTTTTAGCCTTTTGCATACCATAAAGCAGTTCAGTTTTCGTTATTGGCGAAGTTCATTAATCTCCCTCATATATTAAATTAAATAGAAGCCGTCACCTGTGAAGTCAACGAAGTCGAGATTTAAATGGTAGCCTACCAATAACAGTAAATAAGAAGACGAAAAATTAACAGCTGAAAGTAATAATATTAACAGTAGTGGAATGCAAAATATGGAAATAATTGTTCGACAGGGCGAATAAAACTATCTAATGAAGTTTATGGAATAATATTAAGCTCCATATTTAGATGAAAATAAAAAAGATAATGCACATCCTTCAATGGGACTAATTTCAACCCATATCATCATCTTTATACTCAAAAAGCATAGTGGTTACTTCTTCGACCTTAATCGGACGGCTTTCACCTCACGACATAGTTCAGTTCTAGCTAAGTAGATAATTACTTCATAAAGTGTCACTGACTATCTTTTTCAAACTTTCTTAGTATGATAAAATATATAATTTACAAACGACGTAGGATATAATCACAAAACGTGGAACATTCAGTTTCAGGTCACAAAGTCAACTATAAAGAAGGGTTGTAATGTAGAGACATTCTAATAAATTTGAAAATATCATCAACTGAATATATAGACCAAATTGAACAGCGCTTATAAGATCAGGGACGAAAGTATATCAATTCATGTTACTATACCTCAAGTCAACACAGTGAGAGAGAATACTATCATATAAATTAGAGATAAATAATATCGACTGTAGTGGAAATTTATATATAAGAAATAATTATGAATAAAGAAATTAGATCGAACATTAGAAAAAACGAAAAAAAAAGATATGGTTTGTGGATCTGTTACGTTCACCTTGACCTTGTGAGTGTCTACACCAGTGCTTCAACTCATTGACTTGCTATCCAAATGCTGGGTAGGTAAGCAGAATTTCACTTCCTCAAAACTATCAGAGTACAAGAATGAAACAACCGATCTAATCCCGTTTATTTGACTCAAAAATCCATACGATTAAATGTATGAATAATAGGACCGCAATGCACCACAAATAAGACATTACAGTGTGTATCATGACATGAAATCAATACATGAAATTGAAATAATAGGCCTCATGATTACTTCGTAACAATTTTAGAATAGAAAAAATATGATAACAGTAAATGAGTTAGATAAAAACAAGTCATCTGGAAAATATAAAATCTACATGAGCTAAGGGTAAGTAATTACACATTTAGTAACGCGAGTATAGGCGTTTCAAACAATACTTTTCAAAGTTTATTATTCTCTCTTATTCGTCTAATCTCAACAGGAACTAAGCATCACATTCAAATAAAGATAATTAATTCTACTGTATCAATATGATCGATTTTAAACCATGTCACCCGAACGCATCAATAATGTTTTACAATTAGTAAAATGACGTACGACAACAATAAGGTTACTTAATTATTGTGACGCAGAATTCATCTCTCTGTCCTATTGGCGTGTGGTAATTTGAACCGATGTACACATATGCCCGGTTCCACGTTGCGTTTGACTGACTGACAGAATCTATAGTGAATAAGCATACAAACAAATTGTGCTGTAAAGAATATAAATTTTATTGAGAAAGGTTCTTAGTAGGCGTAACCATTGTTATCAGTGTTTGTTACATGAAAATAGTTAATACATTTTCAATTCAAGTAACTGTTTCATTCCAAACTGTACAAAAAAAGCTTCCACAGATTTAAGGAGAAAATATGTTGATGTTTCATAATGTAGATATAAAGTTTCAGTTGCCTACTAATAATAAGTTTTCAAGTAGTTTTAATAATCATTAAGGTAAAATGTGTATTATATTACTAACTTATGTGTAATCAGTATTAGGTAAAAGTCATAAAATTAATTAAACTACATGAATTCAGTTCGTATTTATAAATAGTTCTTTAGTGGAAATAATTATCTCTTTCTTTTAGTAATGTTGTTACATTCAAAGTAAACCGCTATAAGGTTGATTTAATTATAACTTGTTATTTGCTTGGTAAGTGATATCAATATTATCTCAGTGATCCAAAATAATCGAAAGTAGATGTTTCTACTCATGATTATTAATTAATAATCTATGAAGTTAATTTACAAGAAAATTATGATATTATTAACAATCATTTCTACTTATTTTCTAATACATAAATAATACCACTTATAAGTGATAGTAATAATAATAATAATAATTATTATTATTACATTAAATATGTATAGGATGTCATGCAAATATGTGCACATGTGCGCTGTGCTCGATATTCATATTTACATAACCATTTGTGTGTGTGTGTGTGTAATATCGATTAATAATTTAAGGTGAATAAATAATGCTGAGAGATAACAATTATTACATAGAAGATACTTGAAAATATCAATATGTTTAGAAGTAAATAGTATTGGAGAATGTTGCCGAGAAAAGAGTATGAGTGAGTGAGTGAGTAGAAAGTAAACTGAAAGAAATGAGTTGGTTGTTAGGTTGAACTAGTTGAAATTAAAATATCATCCTTTTCATCTTTGTTGTTCTTTTTTTTGTAGTCTAAATGATTTAAATACAAAATTAGAATCAGCTGAATTGGATATGAAACGATTTCATGAATATTTTCATCATGAAATAAAACAAATACGAACAAATATTCCATTGAATGTACGTATAGATGATTTAGATTCACGTCATTTAGAAAATCCACATATTTTATTATTAGGTCCATTATGTAAATCAAATCGGCAAAATGAGTCATTACTAGACTGTGATTTGGATGAGGCTACAAATCGTCTATTACCAGATCCCATACAACCGACTCCATATGTTGCTGTTGATCATTGTAAAAAAAGTGTATAAATCCATATACATCTATTTACTTATTTATAAGTTTTTAAAAAAATAATATTAACTTTTAATTTTCATTAAATTTTAATTTAAAAAGAACGTTTATATTTCTTTCGAAAGGTTTTTATGGATGTATAGTGTAAACAATCAATAAATTAGTGTATATTAAACTACTATTGTTTTTATCCATCGTTTTCGATCTCATACTTATTTCAGAGAGTAATGGACAAAGATTTTAAGCTATCTGTTGATAGTCTTCAATCAGGCTATAAAAAATCTTTTCAGTTTATTAAGAAACTGTTATCAGATAGGTGAGTATAAAATAGTTAAATCATTTAAAATTTAACTGTTAGGTATCAAATGCTGACTCCGTTGTCAACCTAATTCTGCTTATAAGCACTGTCACTAGACTGATTGAAACCCAAGTACGTGGGTACTAAATAGCATTGAATTGGAGAAGGAAGAATTCTTTATTTAAAGTTGCATTGTAGCATGCGTTAATATGAATGTGATGTTTCCGTTGCCATTACTATCGTTCTAATATGCAAAACTTCAGAATAACCTTTAAAACCTCATAAAATATTCAGAACTATATCTAAATAAAGAATACCGATTTCTTGAAAATTATCAGACGACATTGTGATATGTTTATTCCATTCATGAATATTTGTGCAATTCGTGAACAACATAACAGAAAACGCTTAGATCTACTATAATAATTAGTTATCTTAAATATAAATTCATTCGATCATTCTGTAAGATTTAAACAAATTCGGTACATACTCATTTCTTAAACACAAGTTATTATATTCTCAACAGATTTGAAGTGGGAAAATTGACTTTTTCTCGTGACTATTCTCCTGCAAACTATTTAGATTCGTTACTGACCAAGTGTTCGTTATGCAGCTGTTACACGTAAAACTCATTGATTTGCCTAAAACTGATGCGTAAATAATTTTAAGTAACAACGAATCCCACCTATTCGATAATCTTTTATAGAGGTTTTGTACTTTTATTTCTCTAAAAAATCCAGGGATGAAAAACATACTCAAGAGATTTTGTTTTGCTATCAATTTGCGTACCGTAAACAATTGGATTCCAGTTTAGTGATATAAATGAATTATGCTCCTTAAGATAATTAAAGACCCCAATTCCGCTTTCCTGTGGGGTCATGAGTGAATATCTCTGAGGAGTCTAAAATAACTGCCTGATGATCTCTAGTTGATATCAGTTTCTGACGAAAATCATATTTAAGTTACAGAAAATGTTTTGATGAAACATTTCAGTAAATGCTAGTTTTCTTGTCAAACGATTAACGAGAATCCAAGGCGGGAAAATTGTCTCTGAATTGATACAATGTTGAATGAAAGAAACATGGCGACCTGTACCTGTCCCTGCCATCTAGATATTTCAACAAGTTATCTAATCTTGTTTGTTTTAATACATCATTATGGCTATTAATCACACAGCCTACTCAGATGCGTTTCTCAAAAGTGTACAAGTTACAAAAGGCCCAATCAGAGACATTGTGGTTTCTGGCAATATGCAGCGCAAAGAATGTGCATTATTTAGATGCCAACTGACTGGACTTCTAACTGGTGATCACTCAATATTTATCATCAGGATCGACCAGGAAGTAAGAAACGGAAACTTGAGAATTCTACATTGTACCAAAAATATAATACTGAATAAAGCTAATAATAAATAAAATAAAAATTCTCTACTGGATTTCATCTTGAATATTTTCATATTAATTTGAATTACTAATATCCTACAGAGTGGTAATCTTTTTTAAAATCATAAAATTCACCTTCAAGTGTTTACATATTTCTCACCAAACAAAATATGTTGTGAGCCAGATCTCAGTACACTGTACAAAGAAGAAATCTCCTTCTCTTATAAGGTATATTCGATAACTTTAGCTTTCTTGGCTGGATTAGATTTGCTTTCATTAATATAAAACAAACAATTTACTACACTAGTGAACTTCATTTTGACAAATTTCGATAAGTCTGATAATAAATATTCTTACAAAGAATATATAAGCCAGAATAATTAGAGAGAAAAAAAACAACACGCAAGCAAAACTTGTATCACATTATTTATGATACATAAAAAAATTAAGATAACTTGACAAATAGGAAGTAAACGATTTTAAAAATAAAACTTTTATGTACATAGTTGTTTAATTGAATCTTTATAACAGATAATCAAAAGCTTTTTGTAAGAGTAATAATTATCATTAGTAAGGAGGTGACATGTATAAATTCGAATTGTAGTATTTACGAGAAATAAATGCACAATGAAGATAATTATTTCAGTCGTACAGTAGTGATACACATACGTGAACACGAAACAGTGCATAGTGATCAAAGGTTAGAGTTGGAGTAGGTTGATTAAATTCGAAAATAAAACAAGAAAGAGAGAAATTAAGATACGTAAAAGCCGAAAGGGTGAAGCTATATGTATATATTCATAAAAAAGCTTCCATCTCATGTGTCTAGATAGATATTACTCTCGACCCTGCACCCTGATGCATAAGTCTGAGAGAGTGGTAATTTAACGTCCGTTGAAAAACAATAACCATGTGTAAAGTAAATAGGTAGTTCGGATAAAAGGAAGAAGAAAAAGGACAACAACAATATGCACAAAAGACATTTCAAATGAGAAATGATGTGGTAAATACAAGGGAGGAGTCTATCTATTTATTGAGAAAAAAGCCATTTCACTTGTGATATGATTAAGTGTTTACCATGAAGTAGGGAATTTCATCCAGTGAAAGCAGTTTGGGCAGAGTAAATACAGTACATTGCACCAGAAAGTGTATGAAAGTCGTAATGATTATTTATTCTTAACAAAGAAAGGAAAATTGTTAACATATTCTTTGTTTGTAGAAGAACAAATGAAGAGTAATTCAGTGTTCGAAGAGGAAATATATATATATATATGTAGGGAAGCAGAGCATAGATAGAATATATATATCATTTTATGGCGTTGATTACTTCATTTGTACCATGCTGACTTAATCTGAGTAAACGTGTAAATGATCAACTGTTCTTTTAGTTATTTTTTCATTTAATGTAATGGACAATTATTTAAATCAATTGATGAACTTAAGTGCCTAAGATTGTTTCTGATGATTAGCTGCCCATTTTTGAGATTGTCGAACAATTTGTTGACTTAATTCTTTCGCAGTTATAGGGACTCGAACAACCTTTACAAAAAAAAGAAAGATTTTAATTAGAGGAGGAGTAGAGCCAACTGAATTCTGAGAAAAAAGAATCTATTCCAACAACTACAGATAGTTGTTGAAAAAAGTTAAGCCTATGGTTACTGATGACTCGAGATGTTCAAATTAAATGCCTATCTATACATTTTATAATCATAAATGGTTGTACATTGTAAAATGTAACTCCACTGAAACTACCTAAAACAGTGAACTAAATGACAAAAGGAAACTAAAATGTAACAATATCTGAAGACAAAAGATAATCAAGCGTTTGTCAATATCGTTTACCAGTTCTAGTATTGAATGCTAACAAAATATTTTAAGAATAGAAGGATCATTTACTTTTTGTGAGCGAAAAACAAATCAGATAAAATGTATTTTCTCATTTAATTACAATACATCGTCGTTGGGAGACTTGAGAGTCTTCAGTTTGATCTCGTCTGTAGTCATGAGTTCACAACTGATATGATGGATAGAAAAGTCAAAATTCACTTGGTTTACTCATTATGAGTTTTGTTCAACATTATTTCCGTTTTGATTCAATGTGATGATCATTCACTGTAGTATTTCTTTTCTTTTGTCGTATGATATTCTGTATAATATACCATATTTTTGTATTCTATTGACATGAACTATGCTCAGTATATGATTGGTTATAACTCCAAGTATTTTTTATAGATGTCATTTTATCCTAATTATTAATCAAAGTGTATTTTCGAGCAAGGTTGTCTTCGTCGTGTTTTGAGGGTCAATAAATCTTCACTTATACCAGTGTTTTTACCTTCGCGTCGTGGAGATTGCAGAGGTTCCTCGTTTCGAGTATAAGTGATAAGTTTCTGACATAACAATCAGCGGCGACCAGATATAAAACGTAGCATTAAAAGAACCAAGACAATCAGCATTCAAGTGACAAGTTATAACAACAACACTACAGAAAAGTTACAAAATCCATCATCTTTCTAATGGTTCTTCAGCTAACTAATATTAATTTGTGACCAAACTTTTCCTCAAATATGCAAAAAACTATTCTAATTTCCGTTAAAATAGAAATTCTACAAATAGATAATCTCATTTACTTCCAATTCATTTTAAGACCTAAACAACCTTAGGTTTAGTAGCCGCCATATTCGTAGCATCAACATATGTATTTTGATAGTTTACATCACGGACTGATTTCAGTTACATAAAAAATTGACAATCAGAAGCACTGAGAAGCCTTTTCATCTTAGTGTGGGGCTCTTCAGCGGTGCGTATACACGATGCAGCCCAGGATCAAAGTCAAGGCCTTCAGGTTTCATGGCTGGTCAGTACCAATGGTACACATCACTAACATCAATCAGCTCGAGACATTATGCGACTATTTTCCATTCCCTGTGGTGCCTTTACACCTGCATCACATCCTCATCGTTTATCAGTGATGTTGTCCAGGTATATGAAATTTTTCACCTTTTCCAGAGCTTGTTCATCAAATGTGATTAGGGTTGGTGTTCCCCGTGTTGTATTTGACAATCGTGCTTTCTCCCTTGTGTATGTTGAAGCCTACTGATGCAAAAGCTGCTGCTGTTACATTGGTTGTCTTCACCTGCATTTGTTGCTACGTATGATATAGAAGAGCTAAGTCACCAGCCAAGTCCAGGTCGTCTAGTTTCCTCAAAGCTGTCCTTTATATGCCATGCTTCCCCCTGAGATTTGAAGATCTTCATAATCCAGTCGACCACCAGAAGAAAGAGGAAGGGAGTAAACAACCTTATTCGACTCTGACTCTTGCTTGGAATGCGTCTGTCAGCTGTCCTCGATGCACCACTTTGCACTGTAGTCCATCGTATGAATTCCGGATGATCTTGACGACCTACTCAGCTACTCACTCCATAGTGTCAAAAAAGGTTCCGTAGGATATTCCTATCCACACTGTCAAACGTCTTCCCATAATCAAGGGAGTTGATACGTAGTGACGAGTCCCATTCAACTAATCACTCAACAATGATACGTAGCACTGCGATTTGGTTTGTGCACGAACGATCCTTATGGAATTCAGCCTGTTGATCTAGAAGTTAAGCGTCTACTAAATACTTCATTCGGCTCAGCAACACTCTATTGAAAACCTTTCCTGGTACCGATAGTAGTGTGATGCATCTGTAGTTCTCGCACTTACTCCGATCTCCTTTTTTGATATATTGATAAGGCATCCTTCTTTGCAGTTTATCGACACTTGTTGTTCCTCTTAAATCTTCCTCAATAGAACGAGGAGTATCTTTGCAGTTGCTTCAATGTCTGGCTTCAGAGCTTCAGCTGGTATATTGTCAGGTCCTGCTGCTTTTCCGTTCTTGATATGTCTGATGGCCATCCTGATATCTTCCGTCATTGGTGGAGTGACATCTATCAGAAGGTCAGTGTGTGCTGCTTCGATATCCGGAGGATTCAATGGAGCTAGCCTATTCAAGAATTCCTCAGAGCGATCTACCTGCCAGTTTCTCTGTTCTGGAATCTCAGTGGTTGGATTGTCTGCTTTATCCTTGACCGGTCTCTCTAGTTTACTGTATTTCCTAGCCAGTTTCTTCGTTGTATCATGTTTCTTTCTCTTGCAGCTTTTTCCGCTGTTGCTGCTGGCTCTCCCACGTATTTCTCCTTGTCGGCTCTAATGCTTTTCTTCACTCTCTTGTTTGCTTCTGAGTATTCAGCTTGTACCTTGACTTCCTCTGTTCTTATTTGACTGATATTAATTACTGTCTTCTTGTTCTTTCTTTCTTAAATCTTGTCCAGGGTTTCCATAGAAATCTATTCCTTATGATGATGCTTCTTGAGACCCAGAACCTACTGACACGTTGAAATTAGTGCATCTTTGATCCCTTTCCAGTTATCCCCCGTCGTAGTTTCTTTCAGTAGATCCTGTTGTTGAGAATTATCTTGAATTCCCTGAGTTTGTTAGTATCTTGTAGGAAGGCTGTATTGAAACTTTGTAATCCTGTTCCTCTAGTTGTCCACTGTTTTTTTAGTTTTAGTTTCACCTTGACAACTATCAAGTGGTGGTGATCTGAAGCTATGTTAGCTCATCTCCTGGTTCTCACGTCTTCCATTGACCTTCTGAATTTTTTAGTGGTGCAAATATGATTGATCTGTTCCTCTGTAGTGTGATTCAGTGACACCCATGTAACATTGTGTGTGCGTTTGTGGGGGAATATTGTACTGCCTATAACCATTTTTCTGAAGGCACATAAATTTGCAATTCTGTCACTATTCACGATTCTTTTTCCCAGTCCATGTCGTCTCATGATATCTTCATATTCGGTGTTGTCCATTCCGACTTTGCTTTTAAGTCTCCCATCTGGATCATCAAGTCCTTTCTTGAGCACTTCGCTATAATCGATTGTAGCCTCTAATTAAATTGGTTTTAATCGTGTTCATTACTATAATTGGTGGGTGCATAGTACTGAATAACATTCGTTGTGATTCCCTCCTTCTTTGTTTTGAAGAATGCTTTGATTATCCTGGGTGTATGGTATGAGATTCCCATACTACAAGTACTTTAAGTGCTTCTTTGGACAGCATCAGAGCAACTCCCTGAGTGTGCGGGGCATTTTCCGTATATTTTAGGCTAGACAATAATTTATTTAACACAAATACTAGAAATCTACAAACAGGATAGAGATCACAATGAAATCAATGATAAAAAGGAATTCACAACATTAGTGTCACAAAGTCTAACAAGCTGTGTTTGTTTATTTTTGTCCACTGGCCAATTACATCTCACCTCCACTGGTCATACATAAAAAAGTACTGAACTACATAATGATAATGCAACAAGCTAACAGTTCTATCGGTTTCTTTTCTTTTTTCAGCACAAAGAAATGTTGATATACATTATAGAACTCTATGTGCAAAAACATTGAATGGTTTATTTGCAATCTTAGCGAAAGATAATTCATACTTTCAAGAAACAGTCAGTCGCTCAATGTTCTGTAGTTCTATCATTCTCAGATATTCCAAGTTTATTTAAGAAATATACAGTATTGTAGATAACTATGAGATAAGGACTTTCGAAGTTACTTTTCTACGATTATATATCGCATATATTTGTTAAGTATTTTGGTTTTATTATTTTCGTATTACTTTTGTTCCCAGCTTTTATTTGAACCGTAAATTATTGCTATGGCATTGTACATTTATAAACGAGAACCGGTTAATTGTGTACCCAGTACTCCGTTTTTCTCATTAATTATGCGGTTGTTCCGTCTTAATACTGTTACTCAATTGGTCTGCTTTGTGGTCTAGTCTTGCATTTATATAAATGAGTATCTAAAATATGAAGACGATTTTTAACTAGTGATCATTGGTCTTGTATCATTCCTCTTTGTTCGAGGCTAGTTAGTCTTAGGCCGACCGTCAGATATAGAGTATCGGTCTCCCTCTCATTTGCTGTGTATTGGTTACTTAAGGTCGTCGATGCGTATCGGTAGGTTGTAAGCCATAAAATACAATTATAATCAATGTGATACCTAGCAATGATTGAACTTAATTGTTTTGAAAAATATAAGTGGAAATAAGAGAATTTCAACTTGTCTTTAGAACATATATCATGATCGGCGTACATACAATGAAAATAACGAACCAGCAAAACTGAAGTCAGGTGTAACGTTTCAAAATAAGATAAATAAGCTAGCTGATATAACACTGAGAATCTGGACTAAATGAGAATGATGTAGTATTTATTTAACAAATCGAGTATTTTGAATTAGGGCGTCGATAACGAAAGTAGACTGGTCCATTCTAAACAGCGATACAACATATCAGTAATATGCACTTATTTTATTGATAATTATATTTCATGTTTTGTTTAGCTGAATAATGAAACAAAAGCTCGGTGTACAATCATTAGTTAATTCACTAGAATGCAATATTTAATATTAATAAGTCGATCAGTTCGACTGCTACATTAAAAGTGAACGCAAACAGTAGTATGAATTTTTACACAACATTAAGAATAACAATATTTATTTATCCTTGCAACGACAGAATGTGCTTTAGAATATGATGTGGGATAAAGAGACAGAGAGAGAAAGAGTGGTATCCGGAAGCTTACAAAGTTACACGTATTCACTGCTATACAAAATGGACAACTAACTAATCAATAAGACATTCATTTAACTTCAATTGCCAAGTAAAATAAAAGCCTGCTATACAAATATTATTTATGTTTAACTTACTTCACGGATGAAATTATCCAATTTGCCAACAACAGATGATACTTCACGTAATCTCATAAGAATATCGTCAAGTCCTTGACATGATTTACGGTGAGAAGGATGTCCAAATAAACGATTCAATAAAACAATAGCCACTTTAAATAATATGATTTTACCTAATAAGATGATTTTTTGAAATAGAAAACAATAGTAATTAATCAGTAAGTTTTAGAAAGTGTTCTAACAACTTATTTTAGGCTTAAAAAAGAAAGGATTAGATGTACTGAAAAAGTGGATAGTAAGAATTTATCAGTGCATCGTCATCCTTCGTCTTCAGAGTTGTTTACCAATTTATTTATAAATCGTTTCGGTCCACGTTGTTGAATGGCAATCAGTACACACACACAACAACAACAATGATATTACAAAAAATGTGAAAATATAACTAGTTAGGCATGTATATGGAGCTCATGGATCGTAAGACTATAATTATTTTGAAAGTCGTTCATATATTTTTGTAAAATAAAGAGTATTTGAGTGAACAAGTGTTTTCAATAACTTCTTTAAGCTCTATACAGTTAGAAATATCTAAATATTGGGACGGCGGTTCAACGAGTTAGAGAATCCAGCATTTAACCACTAAACCTCAGACATTACAGAGGAAGAATATATTTGTAAAATCGAATGTAAATTTATATTCGATAATTTTGATGTTTGATTAAATTTCCCTGAAAAAGCTTGGACCGAATTGCCAGGTGAAATGTTGGATTTACTTCAAATTCATTTGCTAAGATTTTACAAATACATTCTTCCTCTTTAATATCTCACATCAAATCAGTGCCCAAATACTGTGAAACTATTTGATCAAATTTAGACGAAAGTTCGCATATACTAAACCACAGATCCGGACTCCCACTCAATCCTACTTCTGTTTGGGGTATCGGATAGTATCACTTAGCTATTGTGCTTGAAGTGTGGCTCAAAGTCAAATGCACAAATTTGTAGCTGGTAAAGGAGTTGAAAAAGAAAACAAAACGAAAATATTGCATCACAGCATAGAGTTTAATTTGGGTATACATAACAAAGTTATCATTGAATTAGTTGGTGTTCTCAATTTAGAATATTGAATTAGAATGCCGAATATATCTTAAACACCTTCAAACTGTGAAAGATGGTATTAAAAAAGAATAAGAAATAAATAATGCAATATTTAGATGAAGATTATCAATAAAATGACTAAGTAAGAAAAGAATGAACACATCAAAACCCAAAAATCCTTTTAAGGCTAAAAGAAGGCGGGCGTTCTATTTCCGTAGGCACGAATCTATCTGGTGACTTCTGGATTCACAAATAGAAAAACTGGTAGAAGAATTTAATGGATTCATAAGTTATTTATGATTTGTTCAATCTTTATAGTATTATATTTCTTCCCCATAATCTCTATTTACAATAGCTGTCTTTTGATTGGCTAACAACGACGGGCTAAAATTGGCTGCAACTGTTTTAAGCTCTCCCTATACTGTTTTCCAATAAAAATGGAACATTCGGTTTGTTCTTTTATTGTTTCTATGGTTTTTTTTGCTGTTGATTTCATCTTCCGTTCTGTCAAACAATTTTATTTATCAGTTAATGACCATGTACCTAAATCTATTCAAATCAATAAGCAGATGTTTATAGGTATCAATGCCAAGGTTGAACATGATAGTTTCACATAAATTAATAAGCAAATATGTTACTCCCATTAACGTTAGTGGCAAATGTTTCAGCAGTATGTTGGCGATTACTTCCAGTACACAATTTTGTATCTAAAACTAAAATTAATCTGCTAACCAATAGTATTAGAATGAACAAAACAATATGACACTCTTGAAGAGGTGTATTAGAAAATATTTAATCCGGAATCTAGAAAGGTTTGCCATTAACTATCTCAATATGGAGGATATTTTCATCAGAACATTTGTGTTATAAGTTTCAAATAGTTAAACAATTTTTCCACAGTTGAAAAAATTATTTAACGTTTAAATTTTACACAAAAAATGTTGATTTACTCTACAAAATACAAATAACCATTTGTTAGTAACTTTTCAACATACACAATAGAACAAAGAGCATAATATTAACATCGACCAAAGTTTTAAGGATGAATCATCCACTTATGTAAAACACAAAAGAAATAATAAAAATTAGATGCGTTTTTTGCATGGGCGTGAATATACAATAGAATAATACTAATATATTTTTCTAGAAAGGATAGACATAGTGATAAGTTGGACGGAGTACCTTTGTACACATTAAATGTATCATTTTTTCTTCACAAAGATGAATGAAGCTGTAATATTAGTATACACAACTTGCACTATGATATATTAAGCAAGGTGACTCATTACTGAAAAACGACAGTCGATGACGAGACAGAGAAAGAAAACTCCCGAAAGACATGCGAATGAATTACAACAATTATTGTTCGTATTTTATACACTACCATGTTTATCTAACGACAATATGATTTAGGGCAAAATAACTCTTATAATGTTAGGTTTTAGTCAGACGATTACATCTGATAAAGGCAGATCACTAGAGAATTCTTCCATTGATACGTTTAAAAGAAAGTTGAAATATGTTAGTCCCAATTATTGGGCACAATTTCCTCCCAGTGTTTTGATAATGAGTCAGAATCTGTTAAGATATAGGTTAGATAAATATTCCAAGTTAATGTCTGGTCATAAGTGGCATACTACTACTACTACATCAGTTTCATAAAATGGGATAATTTACCACAGCACAACAATATTCACGTTGGATTATTAGCAAAAACTTAATGAACCGACATACTATCTTCCCCACAAAAATACTTATTGGGTTTCGGCAAGATGGTGAAACACTGAAGCACTGACTGTGCGATCTGAGATTGACATGTTTAATTTTAAGTTGTTTTCAGATTGTACAGTTCTGAAAAAGTACAAAGTCAAGGAAAATCACCTATATGTTTTCTTTAAATGTAACATTATTTTAAATCTGTCATAGTGTATTTTAAATAATGCTGAATATGACTTATTTATTCTTTAAGAACTTATCAATAAAGAAAGTATCACCCGATTTTTTCGAGTGTATTAGTTGAAGAGTAGATAATATTTCGTTCACCTGTACACGTTCATTATGATCGTAATCTAGAAGCGCTGGAGATAAGGGTACACGCATTGTTAAATTAGTATATAATGAAGCTGAATATGCAAGCTCAATCACATCTCTGAGCCTTTTCAGACATCTTGTTTAATCAAAATTCTATGGTAATAATTTAAATTACTGTGAGATATGAATATACACGATATTTAAACCTGGAAAATGTATACATTGAGAATAATTTTAGATATTGGAATACATTAAATCAGGATAACAAAAAAAATAATGAATATATTGCCGAATATATATTTTAAAAAAACCCATCTGGGTTGAGAACTGTGGAAACGATACTTTTCAGTCTTGAGGCATATTTATTCTCACCACGAAATGAGAAAGTCCTATACGGATTTTTTTCTTTCTACTCTGACAGTGAATTTTGTCACAAAATGACAATTGCTAAAGAATTATGGAAAATCAACAAGCATTAAACACTTATTTCACTTGTTATTTGAGGAGCCATTCCTTAATAGTGTGCATTCATGACATGTAAACGATAAATGCTTGAACTGTTTCTATATGCTGTTGAAGTGGTTACCAATAAAATAAAGCTAAAATTGAACATTTAGATTACACAATAAATCAAGGACAACTAATGGTTTTAGTAATAGTAGTAGTCGATAATTTTCTAATTTTATATTTATTGCAGTATACGCGTTGTACACATCTGAATAACAGTAATCACTATTGTCCCAAAACTGGGCAATTAAAAAACAGTATTTCTTAATCCCTATTTTATTTACCACTAACATAACAACAAATAGATTATATAGACGAAATGCTTTCTAACCACAATATGTGATCAGCTGTTACCGGAGAATAATTCAAATTAGATGAAAAGGTATCATGAAGTTAGAAAAGTAAATCACTAGATGGTCACCCAGTGATAAAACAGTTAAGTGCTCGCCACAAAACTCAAACGTTTTGAGTTCAGTCCCAGGTGGTCGGTCTGTAAATGGGTACTGTTGAACAGTGCCATATTTTATATAAATTTTGGTACAACAGACTACCCAGAAAATATTAAGCGCCACATGAATGAAGATATATTGTTGTAAAGAAGGGAATGAAAGTGGAATCAAAAAATAAAAAGATGAAGAGGTCAGTCAGTCAGCTGCAACATAGGACCAGGCACATATATGCATCGGTCCAAGTTGCCACACCTCGTTAGCACAAAAAGATGAACACCAAATTCATAAAAGTAGTTAATTCAGAGGTGGTAATATATAAAAGAAAGATTGCATACAAGGATATAGTACAGGAAGAAAGAATTAGTTCGTACAAAGAAAGATATGAAGCGATTTTAATCTCGTATTTTAAGGGAAGACAGAGAGTGTATACACCTACGCTATTGTGATCGATTCTGAGCCATGTCACCAAGAGTCTCCAACCATCGGTTAAGATAATCACGCGGACCCCCACCAAGTAGTCTGCATCTACCAACATGACTAAGACTAGAAGTTAGTGACTTCAATCACTGATGCCACGTTTTGGTTTGGCCGCCCCTAACTTTCTTCCAACCATCCCGAACACCGGATAGCATTGCACGTCGTGGTAATCGGTGTTCAGGCATACGTAACACGTGGCCCAACCATCTCAGTCGATGAAAATTCTTAACCTCATTAACTGATTTACCATCATTCCTTAACACCCTGCGTCTAACCTCACTATTACTTACCCGGTGATCCCAGCAGATGCCAGCAATATTTCTAAGGCATCTGTGGTCAAATACTAATAGCTTACGAGTGTCTTCTACTCTTAATGGCCATGTTTCGCTGCCGTAAATTAAAACAGAACGAACTGCCGCGCAGTATACTCGTCCTTTTATTGATAGACGGATATCTCCCCTTCGCCATAGGTGACGTAAGTTGGCAAAAGCCAAATGAGCTTTTCGAATCCGTGTTGAGATTTCGTCAGACACCAACCCATTAGGACTGATCAGACTTCCAAGATAAGTGAAGATGTCAACGCGTTCGACTACTTCACTCCCTATCCTTAGTTC